AAAGATAATAATCTTCAAAATAATTATTAACATTTCAAATCAAATTTTGAATTCTTATGATTTGGCTATGGATTGTAAAGCGATTGTATTCAACAGTAAAGAAAATTTATTATTATAAATCTGGAAAGTTAAAAATTGTATAAATTAAAATTAATCAAGATTTGTAAAAAGTCATAGTAATTTTTGTTTTGTTTGACTTTGTAGGATTCACTTGCTATTAATAGTTTTTTTCGCTGTCTGGTTTTATCATTCTCACTTCACTCGCTGCTAATTTAACGACGGCACGTGTTTACAATACACCAAATATTTGTTTTTATCTTGATAGTGGTTAGGGGATCGCGCCGGCAATAACCCTGCCGCCACCCCAAGGCTGCACGAAATCTAATTTGGGCCGTGGTGCGGGTCAAGACCAGGCGCCAGTGGAGGTCCTCCGCCCCTTTCCGTCGTTTATACGGTCGGTCGATGCGTTTTGCAAAAGGTCAACATCTGAGTCACGTGAGCCCCTCCTACCTAGACTTCAATACAATGCCCTCGGCCGAGCTAATTTTCCGAGAAAGCGCAACTTTCCGGTCGATTCTACTCGTCTGTTTGTGCGGAGGGTCGATAACACGGCCGTGTTACTCGACACAGAGGGAGGAGTCCACCCGAGCAGGGTGTAATTCCGTTTTGCTACGCAAATACTATTCGCAGCACGTCAGTGAAATTCGCAGCGCTGGACACACGATCTCGGCCGTGACGTCAGTGGGCGCAAATAATCCCGGTGATGAGTGCGTCGGATTTTGTGCAAATCAATTTTTTAGCAAATGATATTTTAATCGGGGTTTGCCGGTGCGGGTAAAATGGCAATTAATCTCAAAAGCATCCGTTTAACGCTTTTTTATTGCTTTACTGCCGGACTTTATTGCATTTTGTAGGTTTATGGCTGGTACGCATGATGTCGCAGGCGTGCAAAATGATTAACGACGAAAACAGGGATGATGAAAAAAAAACACAAGCTGGATTTTGTTTGGCTTTGCCGGTTATTCAAATTTTTTTCTGTTTTTTTTTTAATTACATAAAATTTTGTTAACTTAGTTTATTAACTTTAATTTAATATATTTTTAAAAGCCGTATATTATTTAAATATAAGATCTAATATTTAATATTTCATGAAATGTAATGTAGATTTATTGCTTTTTACTACAATATTTAAAAAAAGTCAGTCAGTTTAAGAAAATTACAGTATATAATTTATGTGAAAAAATTCACTGTTCGGAAACAATAAGTTAAAATTTTTTAGCCCTGCTTTAATTGAAGACTTAACCAGACTTAACATGCATTTATTGTCCAAAGTATGGAAAAAACAACTTAATTCTAAACAAATTTAAAGAGACCAAAAGTTCAAGTGTTCAAATTTTGAACAATGCGTCGTTGAACTAGATAATTAAAGCAAAGAAACGAACTAGGCTCTGGGCTTTGGCTACTGACCTGAGAAAACTTGCTCGGAAGACTTCGGCACTTCCTTTCATCATTCAATTTATCATTTATAATTTTTCTCTCGTCGCTCCTGCTTCTCATAGTTTTACACGCATTTTGTGCGAAAAATAATAAACAGTGTGAGAATCGCTGCTCATTTCATATGCAAGTGGCTCTTGTGCTAACGAAGAAAGAGAAGTGGGCTGCGCGTATGTGTTCTCCTCGTGGTGGAAGTGACACATTTATGAATGCATGATCACAGAGAAGGCTGCCGTTTTATTGTTGCTGCAAGTTGCTCTCGGCTCATTTCTCTAAATTGGCATGAAACGACCTCTCCGACTTTTCCCAACGAACCCCGCGGTCATTTCAATCGAGAGCGAACGACCTTTTTCCCCATTTCCGCGCGTCAAGGCGAAAAGTCGGTCCCGAGGGTGGTTCGCATTTTTATGCAACTAGCACGGCAATGAAGCCGAGCGTGTTGCATACTCGGCCGACGGTGCTGGCAACGAGCCCAAATTGAGTTCATTATCTTCTGCAAACTCTGTTTTGCGTCAATTTGATGAGAAACATTGGCGTGTTTACCAAAACAAAGCATTTCCATTTCAAATTTTCATCCAAACCCCTTTCTTTCCCTGGAAATTTTATTTTTTTCATCAGAGCTCCCCCGTCAGAGCCGGGGAGGCTCGGTCGGAATCCTCATTTCTCTCTCGAGTACAGAAAATCAATATTAGGCCCAGTCACGGTGCCGGTGGGACTTGAGCTGCAGCATGCGGGCGAGCGGGAGGGAAAGCACATGATCCATCCAACCCCAACACGAGAAACCTAGTTGGTGGTGTGATTCCGTCGCGTCACTTTGTAAGAGTTAATCGTGTTATATTTTGAGATCTTGGCAAGCGCGTGACTAACTAACGCGTCGCAGGAATCTCGCCTTAAATCCATTGGCTAGGTATGTGCGTCACGTGTTTAACTGAAATCGAATGGGGCGCCAAGTAAAAACCGAAAATGGAGAAAATTAAATGCCAGAAGTTGTTTACTAGAAAAATCTAATATCAGAAATCACAAGAGAAAATGCTACAAATTAATGATCGATTAATTTCAGTATCTACTTGAGAGTCAAATTAATCGCCGTTTCAAAATTATTTTATTCTCAATTATATAAAATGGATCTGCATCCTCGGAAATAATTAAGATTATACTTTAATTAGGGACCATTAAGTTAATTTAACTAGCATTATTTATTTATCAAATCCTTTTCACAGTCGTTGAAGCATTTAATTATTTTCTGACTATATGTTGTAGAAAATTATTTATAGAAAGATTAACAAAAATTTTGCATTGAATTTGTTTCAGATCACTTGGAACTTAATTCGAATTAATGTATGAATTTCTGACGAATCATTTTTCCGGCATTTTACTTTTGGTCACAATGTGGCGACCCAATCAAGGATTGCAGGAAGCTGCTGGGGTAAAATCACTAAAATTAAATCGGGATAAGGCGCCGGTGGGTGTTATTGCTTTTGAATTGCGCTCCTTCCGTGAGTCACATACGCCGTTCCGCCCGCGCAAGAACGATTTGCTTGGGCGGTTCGGCGCCGTCCAGCAGGAAATCCTGAGCGAAAATTCTCAGCACCCTCCCTAATTGGCGTCGCTGCCAATAGTCAACAGCGGGTCATGGGAATCGGACTTTTTTTAATAAAACTTCTTTTGTAATCCAAAGTACAAAGTACATTAATCGGTTAAAAATTTACATTGCACAGGGCAAACTATATTAGATGCTCTTCATTTTGCTTATTTAAAGGTATTTTATTGTTCAAATATTATAATAGTAGTTTAAAAAAAACGTTAATTTATATTTGTTTATTTTGTTCTAAATTTTCCTGGTTTGAATGTTGCATATTGAGCATCAATTTCTCCTTTTAAAAATGCAATGTATTTTTATTGAACAAAAATTATACCTTTAAACTAATCTCGTTCAAAGCTTTTCGTTTTGCTCACTTTCCATATCATATCAATAAGCAATCGATCTGCCAGGTTTCCTCAACCTGCCGGGAACTATTTTTAGCCTCGAGCTCCTGGGCATGTCTCGTTTCCTTATCAATGCATTCCCTTGTATGCTTTGGCAATCGTTTCCAAGAAGACCGTTGCTCTCTTGTCATCGCAAGCACGTGTGCGTGTGTTTGCAATGGAAAATAAATAAGCAAATAGCCGCTTGTGTTTGTTACACCACTCGCAAGAAGTGCGTCTTTTTATCCTCCGCGCGCGCGTCCTCTGTATACGTAATTGCAGAATAGAATAGAAAACGGTGCTGCGCCACAAGAAAATTTATAGGTATAAACATTAAACGACTAAAATCCCGCACGTAGCTTTTGTTCGTTCGCTCGCTCGGCACTTGCTCGACTTCTTCCTCCCGTATCGATCTCTTCTTCAATGAGTTGCATCGCGGGCGTGAAAAGCGGCCAACCGGTCGCCGACTGATTCTTTCCAGACGTCGATTACCTAAGATGAAGAAGGAAAATCAGGGCACACTGGAGCGCACGTCAAGTTCAAAACAATAATTCACAGAATGTTTTTTTTTTTAAATATTTAAATAAAGTCAATTTATTTAGGAAATAAATAATCAATTAATAGTTTTAAAAATGAATCATTTAAGAGTATTATAGAAATTGGTAGTGTTGTTATAGCAAAATTATAACCTATTTTAGTATGTTTCCTCAAATTGAAATTACTTTTAGGCTATTTTCACTCTTGTGTAAACTGTCTTTATTATTGAAAACTGACAGAAATTTTGCCTCCGACAATTCTGTAACGTCAAATCGGAAATTTATCAAAATAAATGGTTAATTAATTAATTTCGCAGCTATTTTTTTGAAATTGTAGTCAGTTGAATTGAGTTTAAGTCAATTTAAAACTGAGAAAGTGGCGAAGCAGCGGTGGAAAAAATTTCCGTAGTTTAAATTGACAACCAAATTACATCACAAGTGGTTTTGAAAAATGTTAAATTTTTTAAAATAAAGTGTAAAATATAACTTTTCAAATGAAATAAATTTTCAATTTTCTTTACTTGCTTTAAAATGACTACAGTGTTGATTCATTAATGAAAGTAGTAAAAAGATCAATTAAATTTTACGATCAGATTCTTTCGTCAAGTTTACTCCTGAAGCAACTGCGGGTGGAGCCGGCAAACGAGCGTTACATCATTTCGGGGAGAGATTACGTATTGCATGCATCGTTACTCTAAACCTTGTTATTTAATTAAGAAAAGCCGAGCGCGTCACGCGGATTATGATTTGTTTGTAAACCGAGTGCTGGTGTGGTGGCGAGACAGAGTATTCGATTCAGTCGTCCGCCAGTCCGCCGCACTTGTTGTGCTATTTCGGGCCGAATTGCGGCACAAAAAAAGGCGCTTTGCCAATTTTTCGGGGCTCGCGCGGAGGCTCGTCGTGGTCACAAGACCGCACTCCGCCGTCCTTCTCAAAGCCATTCGCTCGCCAGCAGCTGCCGTATCAACATGAAGCTCATCCCGCGTTGGTCTCTTTTGTCCGCAGTTTACTACCTGGACAGCGGCGGCGGCTGTTTTGGTGTCCGCCGGGCCGAAGATGCCAAGAAGCGTGTGAGGATGGCCAAGATGCGCTACTCTGAAATGCCCACCGACTACTCGTGCGACAATTTGGCTGCCATGAGAATCAATGAGGTGAGATTTTTTAATTTTATTTGCAAATAAGTTTTTAAAATTTTCCCAATCAATGTTTTAAGTTACAAAGCAAATCTTTTTGCTCCATAAAATGCTTTTTTTTTATTGAAGGTATTTAACAGCAAATAAAATATGAAGACAGATAAAAATAATGAAGTATTTCAACATGTTTGAGAAGAATTGAGAATTGAATGCCTTTAATTATTAAAATAATCACAAGATTATCATTGGGAAACAAATACTACAGCTTAATTTCAAAACTTATTCAATTTTAACTACGTAGTTTGTATCACACCGCGGACTTGCATAATTTAATTATTTTCATGGTGATTTTGACCATTAAATTTCTGTAGAAACCCTTTTTTTTTTTAATTTTTCATATTACGTTTTTTTTTAAAGTAGTTTCAAAATATCTATTGAACCTTGGCTTACAAAATTCTTAAATGGATTTTCAAATATCCTTGATTTTTGTTATCTTTCTGATATGAAAGAATTTTCTCACTGCTTGTTATTTATTTTAATGAAAGTACATTTTTACCCCACTTGGCTCGACGACACCCACCCATTGTTTCGTTTGCCCAGCTGCCGTGCAGGCTCTTGGCTCTTCTCTCATCTTTTGTCTACTCCGGCGAGGGTCATTATCGTGTCTGCTTTGTTGTTGCCCGATTGAACCCAGTCTATTGTGGACTCAAAGAAAGGAATAATAAAGAAAGGGTGGGGTCTGTTGGAAATCTCAAAGCAAATTGAATGCGCCTTGTGTGCGTTCAATCTCGTGGGAGTGCTTATCTTCAATACATTTCCTCTGTTTACTATTTACTCGCTTGAATAGCGTCTGAAAAAAGTGGGTCTCGGATTCTCGACTGTCGCGGTCATTGATTGGGCAAATACAAATAAGTTATGACTAGTAGTTGGAATTTTTCACTCTATAAACCTCGCCGTTCGGCTTTAATGAATGGTTCGGCAGTTTGACTAATGCGCTCAATTGTTTGCAGGATCAGCTGGAGTCGTGCTGGTCACACAAGAGCAGCCTCCACAAAATTATCCCCATCAGGCGTGAGTCGTCAGTCAATGAGCTGAAACATTTGTCAATTTACAAGAGCCCCTTTTGCGGCTCGCCGGAAACTTTAGTCAACACCACCACCGTCAATTACCACACAAGGTTTGTGCATCAACTTGTCAGTCATCCCTGCTCACTCTATTACAGCAGACAGAATTTGCGAGTATTCCCCTTTGTTTGTATTTCCGCAAACCTCTAATGCTATTACTGTTTTTTCGCAAAAGCCTTACAATCTTTTTGCTTTTGCAGCTCGCTACCGAGATGCCCACCAATCCACAAATCGCACAGCCTGCCTCGTGGCTGCGAAGAACACTGCCACGAAGCCATCCAGTTCAACATTCTGCAAGTGCCGCCTGAAGATTTCGCCAGCCAACTCACTAGACTGGATATCGCCACATTCAGATCGATTGCGCCAGACGAGCTGAGTAGTTGTGCGTGGAACAAGAAAAATAAACTCACAGTGGCGCCAAATGTGGTCGCTTTCACCAGAAGATTCAATCTTGTAAGAAAATCCATCAAATTCACGAACTGAGTTTATAAATATATTTTTTTCGTTCAATCCCAGGTTAGTTTTTGGACAGTCGAGGAAGTGCTGTCAGGCGATAGTCCAAAGAAGCGCGCAGAGGTACTGGGTCACTTCATAAGAATTGCCAAAAAGCTCCATGAGCTGAACAATTTGCACTCTCTATTTGCTATTGTATCTGCACTTCAAAGCGCCTCTGTATTCAGGTAAAACTTGTTAAAAAAAAAATAAATTTTTTCAATTTTTTGCTATCAATTGACAATGCCTCTTCATTATTATAGATTAAACAAAACATGGGGCTACATTTCAAAAAAGGAGAGGCAGACGTTTGACAAACTGGCTGAGGTCTTCTCAAACAAAAACAACTGGGGCAACCTGCGAGAGCACATGGAGAGCCTCAAACTGCCTTGCATTCCCTATCTAGGCCTCTTCCTCACCGACCTGGTCTACATTGACATCGCCCACCCGCACTCTGGAGGACTCGAGTCGGAACAGCGCCAGCTGAAAATGAACAACATCCTCAGGGTGATCTCCAATTACCAGCAGAGCGACTACACCCACCTTCACGCCTTACCACACATTCAGGAGTACTTAGGGTCCAAACAGTACATTGAGGAGCTGCAAAAGTTTAAAGAAGACGACCAATACAAGTGAGACCCAAATTTAAAACGCAATTAGACTATTATTTTTACACTCGTTTGTTCTATTTGCAGACGTTCTTTAAATTTAGAACCATCTTCACCAGTGCCAAGCTCGTCTTCTTCCAAAGAGTCTGTCAGTGACGCCATGGCCCACCAAGGGCGTGGCTCCGCAGCCTCCCTCAACTTGTCTCCCTCGAGAGGAACAGGCTCCATGAGACTTTCGTCTGCTCCGGTGAAATTCGTGCCTGGACACAGAAAATCAAGAAGTCTGGGAACGAAGTAAGATTTATTTCAATCAGATCTGTTTGCTAGAATTTTGGTGCTGGTGCTCTTTGATCAAAATTTAACTAACAATTCATTTACTTCAGCAAGTTTCTGATCAAATCTTAATGGACGGCCTTTGCTTTTACCTAAAAATTCTATTCAGTGAATGTATTTTCACTCAAGCGAAGGCAGTTTAGTTTCCTGTGTGTGCTAATGGCTTGGTGGTTTGCCAGATTTCGTAGTACAAGTCTGCCGCGCAATTTTCATAAGCAGGGCGGCCCCCATCTTTGTTCTGCTCGCCCAAGTTTGGGCACATGGTGAGTAATGGGCAGATCTTTTAACCTCTCTAGCATGCTTCTTTTTACTTACTATTTCTCTTTTTTGTTAAATTCAACTTGCGTTTTGATTAATTTTGATCATTCCATTACATCAAATTTGGAGGGTTGACATTTTCCTGACATATTTCTTATCTATGCAGTGTATTTAGGGCTTGCCACATGGGCAACCCAGAAGACTGTGGCATCGATAACCCCAGGCACTCGACAGGAGACCGCCACTTGTTGGACGACTCGGTGATTGAGGAGCATCTGGAGTTGCGAGAGGACGAGTTGCATCTTAAGGATGATCGATTGGCAGAAGATGAGGATTGCGGTCTTTTACTAAAAAATGGGTAAAATCAAATTTTTAATAGCTATGGCCTTAATTAAGGAGGAAAAATTTAAACAGGTCCCCTCTTAGTGAGTTGGGGATGTCCGTGGATGACACATTCCAGATGCAAGGGTTGCTGCGACGAAAAACACTTTTGAAGGAGGGCAAGAAACCTGCCGTTTCCTCGTGGCAAAAGCACTGGATGCAGCTGTGTGGCCAGTCATTGGTTTATTTTGCACCAAAGTCATTCAAAGGGTAACTTTTTTGTTAAAAACTTAGCAAATTTTTTAGAATCAAATTGTTTAGATTCAGCACAGATCACCGTTCCGATTACAAAAGAGACCCCTGCAAATTGGTGTCCGTTCTCGGCTGGACAGTAACCATTAGTGACAACACAGCACAGCCTGATTTGCAGCTAACAGATCCTCTTAGAGGTTAGTCCATGTTTTGGTTTTTTGATAAACGTTTATTGACAATTTTGATTTTGAAGGAAACATTTATAAGCTCAGGGCGTCCTCGCGGAGCGAAGCTCTCAAGTGGTACAGCTCGCTTCAGAGTGCCATCAGAGGAGGCAAAGAGAAGCCTCTGCCAGCTAATCTCATGTCATTTGAATGAAGACTGCATTTTCAAGCATACATGCAACAAAATAACAGAACTTTTAATTAGCCCTTTGAGCTATTACGGCTGTGTCTGTCCCTAGAACATATCTCTTTCGTTGGCTAGCAGCTCGTCAATGTCTTGCCTTAAATTCTACAGAAGAGACCCTAGATCTGCTCAAGAGATTTCTATCAAGTAAAATGCATAATAATAATATGGAGAGGATGTATTGTCATTCTTGGCTTTTTAAATTTTTTTGTACCAAGATTAATTTACACAAATATGCCTATGAATTTTCATCATTTTTAATTTTTATGTGCATAAACTTAATTTAATATTCATGTTCTCTTTGCGAGTGTAACATGTATTGTGAAACGATTATTTTCTTATTAAAAATGCCAATTAATTTACACTATGGTCTCATTTTTTTTCTATGAATACCAATAAAAATGTGTGATAATTAAAAACATTTAAATGATGATGCACAAATAGCACAATGGCTGACTTGTGTTTTAATTTTTCCGAATTTTTCAATGAGAATTGAGACAGAAATTAAATTGATGGGCAGCTTCAGATAGACCAAAAACATCTCTTTAATTTGAAATTTGGTACACGGTATATTACAACATTTCAGCATTAATTACAATTTTAAATTTACAATACTTCTTATCCACGACATGGCTGCAGCCTATTGGTGTTGCTGGACTGCAGGTGGCCCTCAAAGTCTGGCGGCCAGTGCGGCCAGTAGTTCGAAGGTGGCGAGACCAAGCGCAAAGAAGAATCCAGTAATCGCATTCGCAACAATTGCTGCAATGTAATGCAAGATCTTGTCGATCTGGAAGCAAACAGTCATATTTGGATTTGGAGAGACCGTTCCGACTGTCTCCTGTTGTGTCTGATCTCCCGGCTCTCCCGCCCATTCGCCACAGTGGATTCCATCGCAGTTGAGCAGATCTTCCACAAAAAATTCGCACCAGATCCTCCTCAGGAGTTCGTGTCCGACCCACAAAACTTCATAGAACAGAAGTGCACCCAGGATCTTCATGATCTCCCTGTACATGATGGTAATTTTTTTGGACAATGAACTATAAGAACAAAGTGAACAAACGCTGCGTATCCCGAGGAAAGCGCCTTTGGTTCCAAGGAGTTTGGTTCACTTTTTTTTGGTGCGAGTCGGTTTCTGTGCCCAATCAGCGTCGAGCTCTTGAGCGCTGGTGTTGTATGTGGCCAACTAAAGAAATAGTAGGGAAGGGAGAGAGGAGAGCAAGGTGCATAAAAATATGATTTTTCCGGATTTTTGCATGCACCAACAAGACAGAACATGCATGCAGTCGCCATGCCCCTTGGAGGAGCGGCTGGACTGGCTCAGACTGGCTGGAGAGTGGAGAGCAGATCGCAAAGTGCGCAGACACAGCCAAGGACACAGCAACAGCAGTAGTTGCGCCTTGCGCCAGTTGCAGCGCTTCATCAAAATTGAAAACACGCAGCGCAGCTGCAGAAAAAAAACTTAATTTTTCAGTTTTTAACTGCAGTTTGTGTTGCGCTCTGCTCAGGATTATTTTTCTGAGCAAGTATTTTGTTCCTTTTCTCATGGTTTCAGTGAAATTTTCATTCTAACGCTGATAAGCATCAAAACATTCTCTTTTTCCTACTTTTTGAGGGTCTTATGTATTACCTTTAGTTAAAATTTTATAACTCATATAACTATATTAACAGACTGTGTAGCATTCTATGGCTTTTGACAATGTCGACTCTCTTCTAGCAATTTGTTAAATGTGTATTGTGATTTTTTTCGAAGCGATTATTTTCTTTTAAAAATTGCCAATTCATTATTTAAACACAAAGGTCTCATTTTTTATGAATACCTAAAAAAATATTATATGAACAATAATAACATATAAAAAGATGCAGCACAAATAGCACAATGGCTGACTTGCGTTTTAAATATTCGCAGAGAATTGATACACAATTAACATAAATTGTTGGGCGCTGCTTCACTAATAATAAGACTAAAAGATTCATCTTTTTAATGTGACATTCTGTTACACGGTATCACAACATTTCAGCATTAATTTTTTTACAATTTTTAATTTATAATATTCATATACGACATGCAGCCCAGTAAATAAAATATCTATGTCTATTTAAATGATTCATGTTGCCAGTTGAGATTGTTCATTGTTTCAGTCTCTTATAAGAAGCATCCCTTATTCCAAATAATTATCAATATTTTTTTTATTTATTTTTTTAAATTTTGAATTAAAAGTTGATTTAATAATTATAATTTATAAAAAAAATATATATCCTTCTAAACAGCTTCTATAAATCAGAAACATACGTCAGGTTAGAAAATACTAATTTGTACGCATTTTTCAAAGCCCCATTAATTTATATTGTACTTTTTCAAATATCAATGAGTTTTCTCTTTAAGGTCTTATGAAGATGCTTCCAATGACATATTGATTAATTTTTACATTATAGATAATAAATCCATGGGTGATGCGCTTTCAGTTTGGTTTTCTGTACCGCCGCGGCTTCTTGGATTATTGCGAATTACACGCCTCACCACTGGACCAAAGAAACTGACCAGCCAAATGAGGGCGCCGCTGAAACCAAAAATCAGCAAAGACTTGGTCAAAATATCTGGTTGCTTTGTGAAATTGATGGTGGGCACATCATCCTCATTGAAAAGTTCAAGCATGGAACGGGAAGAGGAATAAGTTCTGAGCCAAGGAGAGCCGTCGGATCTGAGTGGAAGTCGGATCTTGAAAAGCAACTTTTTTATTTTTGTTGAGTTCTGCAATTGGCAGCAGGCGGGTGTTCGGACAAAACCAAAATTTTGTACATTAATTAATTTCCTTGCAAATTTGTAGCTAGGACAGATGAACGAGAGCTGGGTCAGTTTCGGAGCGACAAAGAAGTGAATTCCGCTGGGTGAAAAGGAGACGACGCTGGTCTTCTTGTTCACCTCATCCTGGACTGTTCGGCAGTGATGTGGGCCGCTGCCTTGAGTGTTTTGCAAAAACTGGGCAATTTCGCAGATGGGAGCTTCCTTAGAAAAGGTTGAAATCGGTGCCAGGTGGAAGGAGTTATTGCTGATTGGTGCCTCTTTGATCAAATTTGCATCAGGGAAGGCGAATCTGTCAAAAGACGAGGAGACGGCCAAGAAATGTTGCAGGACTCTCGCACCTGAATCGCGTGCCTCGACCTTAAAGTGGCGCCCTTGATAAAGGATCGGAACGTCGATCGGCCAGTACAGTCTAAAGGACGACGGCACGTTGTTAGCTTGATTGACGGTCAAGATCAGCGTGGCAAAACCTTTGGCCAGGTAGAAGTCGACCAGCCGAAGATTGACCGGTGAAGGTTGGCCCGAATTTCCGAGGAGTTCTTCAATGTCCTTGGCCAAATTCACGGACAATAAAGTAGATGAACCAACTGTTTGCTGCAAAAAAATGGTGTAAATGTAAGGAACCGAATTTTTGATTATGTCAACCGCTTGATTGGTCAAAAGGGTCACCTCCGTCACATATTCGGCCCTTTTGTCTGATTTTGAGAGGTTTGCTTTCTGCCAATGGTCGATTTCTTTTCTTAAATCGATCACTAATTTCTGCAAGGCTCCTCGATCAGTTCGGGTTGCGTCCACGACCAGACTTGTCCCTCGGGCCACGAAGGTGTCCCGCGTCAAAGTTGAAATTCCGATCGACTCCTGCCAGTTGAAGGCTTGATCCTTGGGCCGAGCAGGAAATGGCACCTCTATGGGTAGCTGCGCCAGGTCGTTCTTAGCCTCGAGCAAACGGTTGCTCACTGCTTGAAACTCTTTTAACTTCCCCTGGAGTTGCTGGCCGCCGTGGTTTTGCAACTTCTTTATATTTTCTTCGATTAAGTCAAGTAGACGACGCACCTGATCGTAGTCGTTTGTCAGCCCTGCCAGGTCAAAGGCGAGCAGGACGCTTCGGCGACGGTCAAACTGTACCTCGCCTGTATAGACGAAGGTGCGTCCGTTTTGTGGCGCGGCCATATTCACGACCTCCAAGTCCGACGTGGTCGCACCAATTGTTAGAAGAAACAAAACCCATCCTACGGCTGGAAATCGCTCTTGAAACAGCATCTTTTGCGATCCTGAAAAATATATATTATATAGAAAAAAATTAAGCAGTGCCTTAATATGACTAATTTTTTATGTAATAGCACAAAAATTATAGATAAAATATTATATTTTAATGCTTCTCTGCTTGTTGCAAATCCAGAAAATACTTAGATAAAAATTGGGCACAGTTCAGACGACGTGCGAAGTGCGTATAATTAGAACCTGTTCTTCTTTTAAAAGTTGTGAAGTTGATAAAAGTTTGGGCTTCCCATAAATAAAATTTTAGAAAAAAATGCTTTAAAAATGAGACATCGCATCGTCTGACGAATATTAACAAACAATTTAACAATTATTACTTTTTTTCTATAAATTTAAGCCAGAAATTTTTAAACACTAAATGTATCTGTTGTAAAATTTATGGTAAAATTTATTTAAGAGCTCAACAGAAAAAAAATAATCATTAGATCTCCAGCAAATGACAATGTAGATTTTGTTGTAAATTATAAATTATTCTTACCTGCAGCTTTGTGCGTGCGAGATTCGAGTGTTGGACACATGCTTTATGTGACAGATAAAGTGGGAAATTTTGCACCGCGCCGTTTAAAAAAATTTTAAATCAAAGACACACTCTAATATTCTATTATTTGTGTTTAACACATATAGAAAAACACGACTTGTCTTGGTGGGCTCGCAGGCGAGTGTATACGTGCTCTCACTCTTCTCGATAGTGGCCGCCGCTTCTACCCCAAAATGATACAATGGAGGGATAAATACAATAGTTGATGTCACCAGGTTTTTGAGAGATAATAGAGGGGGATGCGCGAAAAGGGAAGGTGATCTTTCCAACATAGTAGTATATTAGATCACCTTTTCCAAAACACATTGCGGCTATAATTTATTGAGACAGATAGCTAGAATGCCTTGAATATTGTAGTGGCAATTAAACTAATAACAAACAGAGCTGTGCGGGCATTATTTTAATAGCCTCCTCTCCTATATTTTTCATAAAATTATTTATCATGGATGAAGCATACTTTAAAATTTTGTCATGCAAGTTTCATATTATCTCTCCCTCTCTACTGATTAAAGCAAGATTGCGGGGCATGCAAGTCGGAAATTCAAACTTATAACTTATATATTTATGAAAGAGCGAACGGAAATAATTCTGCTTTCTGGTCGTCACTATTGAAAAGTTGTCGGGAATCGCAAAATTAAAGTTTTTCGATGTTAATGTTGCCAACAGAAAAATTAAAAACTCGATTTTTCAAAAAATAAAATTTTGAAATATTTTTGGGCATTATTTTAAACCGCATGGGGGTGTCCTATGGACAAATGGTTATCACAGAAAAAAATTATAAGAATATAGTATTGATAAATATCTTGTAACTATATAGAGTAAACCTACAATAATTTCAAATTTTTAAATATTAAAACAAAAACTATAATGTAAAAGAAATAAACCCATTTTAGAGAGCTAAGGAAATGATTTATATTATAATCCACATAATTTTATTTATGCCATAGCAATGCTTAAAAATAAGTATTCACAGACAAAACATTTTGTTCAGGTTGCGTAATCAAAATTTATCAACTTTTAAAACTTAAACTTGCAATCCACCCCATTCATATCTCGGGGATGCCAGCAAATTCACTATGTCCCGCTACGTCCTTGAAGTAGATGACATTGCAAGCACACGCGTAGAAAAGCCTAGATTCGGGAAAAACTGATTTTGAATATAACCGTCGAATCTTGAACAGAATGAAATCAACTGAGAGAAACAACTGACTTTTAACTAGGTTAACCGGCATGTCTAGAAACAATTTTACACTGACCACATTTTAATTGTATAAATAACGAAGCATACTATTCTGCCCAGATGCCAATCCATAGAACATTGACAATTAAAAGTATTTATCCAAATGAGACATTGCAATTGCAACCTGGCGGAAGGGAAATTTGTTCGTCGTGTACAAGTCCTGCGGCGTTTCAAATATCACCGAAACAAGAGTTGAACAACACTCGAGAGTCTTCGAGGCACACAACAATAAGCAAACAACAAATATGTTGTGTTCTTTCTGATAAATGTGGGCACCGCTCACTCCCACTCAGTGGTTCCAGGCGGCTTTGAAGTCAGGTCATAGAGCACACGGGAAATGCCAGGTACAGTTGCCACGTCATTTGCCATTCTGGCAACCACCTGAGAATAATTAAATTTTGTATAATCTCGGTTACAGGAATAAAACGAAAAACTCACTTCCTCGGGAATTTCCTTGCCAGGGGTTGCCGGCATACCAGTCATAAAGTCTTGAGTCAAGAACGGCCGAAGGACAACAGAGTGTTGGCAAGAAGGAACACGGCCAATAGAATCACGGTCAAAGTGGAGGGGAATAAGCACCACTGGCATCTGGCTCAGTTGGCTGTAGAAGCCTGAGCTGATCAGCACCTGGGAAATAATTTATTTTTAATAAAAATTATATTATTATATATTATATTATATATAAAAAAATATTTGCTTTTTCTGGGGGATAAATTACCTGGTTAGCAATGTGGTCAGCCTGCCTCACAGTGCTGATGATGCCTGATGTAAGGTAGGTGGGTGTAACATCTAGCACAGGATCCCGGACCATTTTGCCAAATATGTAGCACACTCGGTTGATGTTGTGGCAGATCCTGGGGATGATCCGGGCGAGGAACATTAAATCGTCCCAAATGGGCGGCGTGTCGCTGGAGATGCCAACAACGTAACTATAACTCCGACTGTCACCCTTGAAATCACAAAAATTGGATTGAATTTCTAAGTTCGTACTCTAGTTTTAATTTTATTTTGATAGTTTTTATTTACCTGAACTCCAACACTTCTAATTGGTAAAAGTAATGCAGCAAGTTGCTGCTTGCTTGAAATAACTTGAAGATGCTTCCTTTCACCCTCCGTTGTAGCATTTTCAATTCTATTCAGTAGAGCATGGTTCTGAAAATCAAAATTAACAATTATAAGCTGACAAGAATAAATGTTTTTTTTTTAACCTTTTGAACCATCTGGTGATACTCAACGATGATCTTGACAACCACCTGAGACTCGGAGAAGTCCTTTTCGATGTAAGGCTCCTCAGCACACAGCACTCGCATGGCCAAGCCTGGACCAGGGAAGGGATGACGCATGACCATATCGTTTGGCAGTCCCAGGTCACGGCCCAAGTTTCGGACCTCATCCTTGTGGAAGTCTTTGAGCGGTTCCACAACACGGCCAGCGCTACGGAGCTGTCTCACTAGTTCAGTGTCGTTGTGGTGGGTCTTGATGACGTCAGCCTTGGCACTTGCAAGACTCGAGGCAGACTCAATAAGGTCGGGGCGAAGGGTTCCTTGGCCAAGGAAAACTTCTTCGGGACGGAGGTTAAGCTCCTGAATAATTTCGTTAGCCACCTAATCAAAAAAATTATTGGGTAAATAGTAGAAGAGAGTAAACTTTAAGACAATCTCACGTGTACAAACGTATCACCAATAATTTTCCTCTTTTCTTCAGGAGAAATTGTTGCGTTGAGAGTTTTTGTCACATGTGCCCTTGAGGTAGGATCACGTTTATCGGCTGGAATGACTGTCGAGGCGTAGGAAAATTTCTGAGTCCCGTTTATAGCTGGAAAATGGATAATAAATCATATGATCTATACCTTAAGCAATCGAACTCACTTCTCATTTTAAGACCTAAGTTTCCAAGCGACTCTTCAACTTTCTGACTTTCATTTTTTCTCATGAAACCATTGTCAATGTGCACAGCAATGACTTGGTCATCCCTGAGCGCTTTGTGCAACAAGGCAGCACAAACAGTGGAATCGACTCCACCGCTGCATAACAACTGTTGAAAAAGAAAAATACATCAGATGTTAAGATAGAAATATTTGAAAGTACCAAAACTTTGTTCTTGTCAACGGTCTCCCTGATGTATTTGATACACTCCTCTTCTCTGCCTTGCAGAGTGAAATTACCCGTTAGGCCAGCAATGTCGAAGAGGAAGTTCCTCATCATCATCTGACCATTTGGAGTCAAATCCACCTAACAAAGTCAAAGTTATTTCTGTTTAAATTCTTAACATTTTCCAATTACTTCAGGGTGGAACTGCACACCGTAGAGTCTCAGTTTGTCATGGCAAATTCCAGCCACTATCGAGCCAGACATCGAAATGACTCGGAAGTTCTCAGCAACCTTATCAATGCTGTCCCCATGTGTGAGCAACACTAGCTGGTCCTTTTGAAGACCTCTGAAGAGTTGATAAATGTAGATTTTAATTAAGACTTGGCATTAAGACTTACTTAAAGAGTAGGCACTTTTCGTCCACGTCGATGCTGAACTGACCGTCCTCCCTCACATCTTTGCGCACCACCTGCCCACCGAACTCCTTGTTCATCATTTGCATACCATAGCAAATACCTGAATAATATTTGTTTTCAGAAACAAACCAGATCAAAATAATAGTGAAGTACCAAGGACAGGAATTCCAATTCTAAAGATATCGGCATCATATCTTGGCGCATCCTCTGCATATACGGAGTTCGGTCCGCCCGAAATAATAATAGCTCTGTGAACAGAGAGTCAAGAGTGAACATAACATCTTCTGAAAATCGCAAAGGACTACTAATTGGTCCAAATTTAGATTTGTCTGACAGAATGTAGCCTTGATATCTAACTTGCGTCACAAGAATGTTCTCTGTCACTTGTTGATGTAGGAGGTTCGTATCGGCCATCAATCATCTCTATTGATATGACAGCCTTCTATACCTCCATAAATAGTTTATTCATATTGTCACAAATTGTAAACTTGAACAACAGAAAAATGGTATAAAAATTTAACAATAATGAAAGTTACCCTAAGAATTTTTTAAGTTTGAAAATGAAAATTAACGTTTGAACTTTTCCCATAGAGTATTAAAATTTTTTCTTCTCTTTTCAAACGATAATTTTATTATTTATTCGCATACATTGATATCAAACCATAATCTTACTTGTATCCTTTTTCCTTGATGGTGAAAGCAGGAGTGTCGAGGGGAAGAAGTTCACTCTCGACCTGCAGCTCTCGCACTTTGCGGTCAATGACCTTTCCGTACTGCGCCCCTGCGTCCAGGATGGCCACACGCTCACTGACGCCGCTGGCCAACGCGCCATTGGTTCTCGTTTCGGGACTTGTGTTGTGCATGCTTGGAAAACAGCACTGCTGAAACATCAAACAAAATTTTCAGAAAACAGAGGAAACAGTTATTGTGCATCAGCATTTAACAAATAAATCCATAAAATCATGAGCTCAATTTGTACAAAATAAACGTGAAATCCATGATGGGTAAATTTGTTGAAAAGCGTATGATGATTTTTTTTTATCAACTCTACGGACCACAAGCAGAGACTTTTTGCTTTTGCGCCACACTTACCCAGGCCATCAACCACCCAGCGCAGTCTGCAAGCCAGAACAGAGAAATAATAAGCGAATTTTGGCGATAGCCAAACTGACAATGCGAGCAGTCGATTTTTCGGGCCGAATTATTCAAGCAGCCAAATGGGCCGCAGTGCCGCGCGAATGACAAAGCAAAACCTTGACTCGACCGGACCAAAATAAATCTCCGATCCCAGCTGAGCGCTGTCAACATTCCTCTAGATCGTGTGCCAAAATTTACCAGCAGATTCGCAAGTTTCGTAACTAATCTCTTGTGTTTTTTTCTTATGCTTTTGAGTGGAGCCCTTGGAAATAAAATATATTTGGAAATGTCTTTTTTTCATCTTATAATGTTAATATTTTATTTACAAATTTGAAATATTTTATTGGTAAATAGGATTAACTTGGCCTTCCAACTTTGACCCTCGTCGTAACTATATTATTTCATTTTCTGTTCCATCCTATGGACTTTGCTTGTTAGTAATTTTTTTCTCCCAGTGGATGCAAGAGTTGCATTAGTGAGCTTTTCAGTTGGGTAATTCTCTAGTTTACACACTCGTGTTGCAATAGTCTGAACACTTTTTCCGACGAACAGAATAGCAGAATATGAATAATGACCTAAAAGTAGGCTAAGCACGTGGTGTTCATATCACGTATCCTCTGTTCGTCCTCAGGGTGTCCAAGGAAGTGAATACAAAAGCAAATTTTCACTTAAATCCAACTTATTAAGTGTCTCAATGAGACCGGAATTTTACACACAACATGAAGACAAAATCTACAAAAAATACTCCTGAAATGAAAATTTATTTTGAGTGGCCTGAAAGGTGGTCGATGTGATCAGATTTCCGAGCCAAAGAATTTGGCTGAAACCTTTCTCTGTATAAAATTTGCGATGTATTTTACAAAATTAAATTATAAAAGCGTTGGGCATACATAACCATACTAAAATATTACGAGTAAATGCAGTCCCAAAGGAAAAATGGGCTTGGCAGAGTTTGTTTTGATGCCGCTCTTGGAGCAAATTCTACGCCAGTACGTTTTTCGCAACAGACTTTCAAGTCAATTTTCGATGCAAGGGAGAAAAAGTCACAAATTTATATGGAAGGATAAATGTTTTTTGTCGTTTCTGCTGCAAGTTTTGGAGTTTCACTGACCTGTTTCCGAAAATTCGACGATTTTCCAACGCGCCGACACGAAAACACAAGTGTCCACTCGGCAAATTTCCAACATGAGCGAGAATTTTCTGAGAGCGCCGCTGAGTGGCGCGCAAGAGTAAAATGACGATCGCTTAGCGATTAGCGCTAGGTGCAATAATTAATTAAACGAAAACGAACGTAAAAATTACAAATTAAAAAAATTTTGCCAAATGAGCAGCAAAGAAGAAACTTTACAACAAATTTAATGTAATAACCGGTAATAACCATTGCTCATTGAACCACATTATTGCACGAGACGTTTCCCTTTTCTGACACATTTTGTCATAAAACTCCCCTCCCCCCACCACTCTGTAACTTTCTTGGGAACTGTTTGCAGCCTAGTAAAAGAAAAGCGACAAATGACAAACGGGAAAAACAACTTGCAATAATTTTTAGATCCATATAATTTGTAAACATGTAAAAAAGTTTCTCTATAGTTTCCTGTCACTTTCAGCTGAGGTTGAGTCACCCCTTTATCTCGTGATTAATTTATATACAAGCGCATTTAAGTTGCATCTGCTTTTTTGGTGTAGCGACAATTGATTCGTAATGACAGTCTAAAATTGCTAAACACAGCTGTGCACGTCATTTTCAAGCCCTTTTATACGCGACTGTAATATGAAACTGCGTGCTAAGCTAAATAATTTGGGTATGTACAAAGTTGGAAGAGTGACGTAGAATTTTATCGATAATAATATCTTGTTGGATTTCCAGCAGTTTAATCTGAAAAGAAGGGACCGCCGCGAACATGAGTTGGCTTTTCGGCTCAAAGAAGACGAAGACTGTCGTCACTTCGCCGTCGTCCGAGCAAGGCTCTCCACCGAACAAAATTGAAGTCAACGAAGAAGATGACTTTATGATTGTAAACAACAAACAGGCCCCAAACGGATCTCCCACGGTTCCGCCTATGTATCCAAGTTTTTCAAATGGAACAGTTGTGGCTCCGTACAATGCACAATCCCCTACAACTCCTGTCAACCCCTTACAAGGTGTGCCATTCCAGCTGTCCAAGACCCTTGGCTTGGCAACAGGCCGTAACCAAGGCCAGGAATTTACTGAACTGCTAGTTCAAACAGTAATCGAGGGTGCAGATCTACGTGCCTTAGAGTATGATTTTGGTGTCGAAAAAAGTGTCGCTCGTGAATTCTAATATTACCATAATAATTATGATACAAATTGATTTAACTAATAAAATTATGCGAGAGTTATAGCAATGGAAAACATATTATTATTATTTTACTTGAAGCAACTCTGATGTACTATTTAACCACGGAATTTTTTAAACAGAGGGTGTTTGACGTTGGAGCGTTTGTATTCTGTGTAGATGGCATCGTCGGCTCCTGATAGTGACGACAACGTTCCAACCCTTCGGTGGACCTACAAAAAAAAAAACGAATAAATATTTTCTCCCTAATTTTAATTATATTACTGATGGGCCAGCTTTCATTCCGCCTTCGCCTGGCATCCGTTCTTCATCGGCGTCCATGTCGCTTGCAGCAAGGACCTGCTGAAGAAGTTGACCTTGTTCCTCCCTTGTTTTGTAATTTAATGGCTCCTGTGAAAAATTTGTCCATGAGCAGGTTTTGATACATAAATTTTTAATCGCACATCGTCCATTCCTGCCAATTTGGTGATGACCTTGTAGCTGTATCCCTGGTTCACCAAAAATCTAGATCTTTTCCTTGAATATCCCATTTCAATGGTGTCTTGAGATACAAGTGTGTAAAAAAAGGCGTTGTATTCCTCAGCAATTGCACCTAAAGAGGGAGTTGGCTCCATTTTATGTTGGTCATATAGTTTAGTTCTAACCTTTTTTGGCTCGTAGGATACGGCCCAATCGTTGCGCCTCTTGACGTCTGGAGCCTCCATGAGATGAGATTTGAATAAGCACATTAGCATCGGGAAGATCAAAAGAAGTGTCAGCAACTTTGCTTACAAAGATAGTGTTTACTTTCGGGTTGAACTTGAAGTTTTGCAGAATTTGCATTCTTTCATTCTAAATTGTATAAGGGTTTTCAAATAATACATTATTCCCTTTACTTATTAAAAATATACCTGTGAAGTTGGGCCATAAATATAAGGTTTGTTCATTTTAATGGCATAATGCTTCAAAGCGAACACATTGTCTGAGAAGACAATAATTTTATCACACCGTCTTTCGTGGTACCTGATCAAAAACTGACACATCTGGAATTTGGTCGGGTTCATCACATACAAAAGCTAAAAATTAACAATTTTTATTAGTTGTTTTGATTTCAACAACAAGCAATAACTGACCAGCTTCTTCATTGTCCTGCAAGCCAGATATTCTCGGAAGAACTCTGGTGTCATTGGGCACCAGACCTCAGCGCATTGCACTCTTGCAATGAATCCTCTCCTCTGCAACTCCAACCAATTGGCCTCATATAGTTTGGGACCAATCAAGAAGTTTAAGTCGGCAATTTTGTCGTCTTCTCTCAATAGGGTGGCGGTCAGACCCAGTTTGCAGTGAGATTGGACAATGGTTAAGACACGCCTAAACATCTTGGCTGGAATAGTGTGCACCTCTGAAGGAGCATTCAAATAAAATCAGTGGTAACCAAGCAAAAATAAAAACAAACCATCAAGGACCATAATACCCCACTCCTGATCTTGGAGCCACTTCATGGTCTGTTCTGCCTCCCAAGAACGTCGTTGAGTGTGGGTGATCATGGAGTACGTGGTGATCAGAACCCCACTGCCCATCGGCTTGTCTTTGGCGTCGGATGTGAACCTGCAGATCATGCTGTCATCTGCAGTTGACCACATTTTGAACTGCTGCTTCCATTGTTCAACGGAGACGCTAGAATTGCAGAGTACAAGAGCCCTTTTCCTGACAGTGCAGCAGGCAGTCACCCCAACCAAACTCTTGCCGGCACCTGTATACATATTTTTTAAATCAAGTCGTTTTCAACAGTAAATTCAATCTAAATTTACCGCAAGGAAGTACAATGACCCCTGACCTAGCCCTTCCGTTTCCAAACATTTTCCTCAGGGACTTTTCTTGGTAGGGTCTGAGCACTGCCGAGGGCTTCAGATCAATGCTGAAGAGAATTTAGTTATAGACAGTTTTTCATTTACAGAGAAATTAAATTACTTAATGTCAGGATTCACTGTGTCATTTCTGAAATCGTATTCAGCAAGCAGAGGATGATCAAGTTCGATACATCTTTTCTGAATGACTTCAATTTTTTCCTTAAATAATAGTTCGATGATTTTGTAATATCATTAATTTTTAATCAAAAATGCTCACTTGGTTCACTTCGAATGACACAGTCTTCAAAACAGCCTCTTGTTCATCATCGTCATCTTCCTTGTCCATTTTTTCATAGAAATTGGTGATGTCTTCAGGGACGGCAACAGGATTCTCCTCAGTGCCCTCTGTAGCAGCTCCATCTGTTTCTGTCGGAGCAGATTTGCTGCCAAACTACAAAAAAATTCAAAATCTTTTAATTAGAGATTAAAAAAATATTGCTGCTAATCACCTGCGTTACACTCTGCTTGGCATGCGTCTGAGAAATCAGTCCATCTTCAATAACCGTAGCACCTTCTACCTTTGCAACCTCCTCTTCCTTCTGTCGGAGACGACATTCTTGAATTACAGGATCTTTCAGAAGCTTTTGAAGCACATCAGGAAACTGGGACTCTACGAAGTATTTGTTATGCTTCAATACCAATTTTACCTGTATGGAAAATAAGTTAATACCACCATATTAGAAGTTAGTAACTTTTCCAAACCTTTCCATAAGAAAGTGTGCACATTTTAATAAAGTCCATGATTCCTTCTGGAATAGTAGTTTTGCTCAATCTTTTCAGATATTCAATAATGTCGTGAGTTTGAAGGCCGACAGAAACTGCTGCATAGAGTGAATAAGGTGTCAGTTTGTATTCATGGATGTGCTCAGGTCTGCATACAGGTTCCGAAATTGCAATCAAGAAGTCGTGAGCGTGTTTGTAGACAGGCGAGAATGATTCCAAAAAAATGTGACCGTTCGGAGCCTAAATAAATTTATATTTTATTAATTAATCTAGATACTTTGAGTAAGGGTCTATCATGAAAATTAAGTACATACAACCCATAGTGGTCGAGAAGCGTGGTCTGGTTTCAATTCCATTTGTGGACGATAGTCTTTGGCCCCAAACTCATCTTCATTGGCTTTTTCATCGGCCTTTTCAGCATTTCTTGTGGCGCACCCTGGCACCATTTCCAGTTCGCCACCTTCCCCATCTTCGTCAGGATTGTATTCACCTTCATCTTCCTTTCTTCTCTTTTTCTGTTTACGATTGTCTAAAATTAAAACTTGTAATCACAAAAAAAAACATGATGTATCAATTGCATTAAACAAACCCCCAAAGTCTCTTTTGAATTTCTTCGGGCCTCCCATTATTGCGGCAGGCGTTTAGACGTGACAATATTAATATTTATTTCTTAAACCATTATGACGATTTTTGGCAAATTTGCAGCTCTTCTCAGGATGAACTCAACGATCTCTCGTTACAGGCAAAAAATCAAAGCAAAAATATTTTCTCGATTTTCTCCCTGCCCTGACACACGAGTCAAACAAAAACAAAAAAATCATTGTAGGGGAGAGGGAAGAAGTAGGTGGAGGGGGTAAATTTCAAGGAGCTTTTGTGACGTCAAGGGACTGCAAATTTTTCCCGCCGATGCTGCGCGAGCGACCGGCGTTTTCATTTTCGTCGCTCTTCACCATCACGATTTCGTGCAGCTTGTCGCCGTTTTCTTAACTTCTCACGAAAACCAGAAATTGACCATGTCTTCTGCACCTAACACTGCCGCCGAGGCCACCAAGATGATCAAGGACGCTTCTGTCTTCCTTCTGGACATTGAGGGCACCACCACGTCCATTTCTTTCGTGAAGGTGAGCAAAAATTTGCGAGTCTTTGCAAGCCGGGTAGCGTCTGCCAGTATGGCGGATGCATCCGGCAAAACTTTCCTCCGTGCGCTGTCAATGAACTTTCCCGGCTGATAACTTTGCTGCCGACGAATAAAATATGCACTTAACGAAGCGTGCAGGCTCAGTGCGCGATTCCAGTCGGGGTTCGCCGTTATTTCCTCTTGGCTTTTCCGTATTAAACTATTCAAAGGGGAGCACATGGGCGATGAAATTTCGAGTTCTAGAACAATAACGCGCAAATTTCGAATCAACGTTTTTTATCTCACCTAAATTATCAATCAATGCTTTTCTCATCTAATTTTCTTACAGGTCATTAGTGGCACTTGATGATAACTTTAGTTTGTGATTTGCCTTAAGTTTCAATGTACAATTTTGCACTTTTTGTTAGACGAGGAAAACTTAATTGTTAGAACGAGCTAACAAGTCGTCTGAATTGTGAACTGCTGAACGCATTTCTTGCATTCCAAATTACAATGCCGCCACGCTACTTACATGGCTATGCTAAAGATTTGTCAAATTTATGGGAAAGCAAGAATTTAATACTCAATAAAACAAAAATTTGTTTCTATTAACTCCCGTTTTCAACTTTTGACTTTTGTTATTCTTTATTGTCCATGTTTAAAATTTTCACAAATTATTAATAGCAGATGAGAATTAAATCTGAAAGATCGACAGCTTACTGTCTTTTAACATTAAAAAATCGCATAAATTTTCAAAAATAATAAAAAGTGAACCCATGCCCATGTTTTCATAAATTATTTTTTTCAGGATACACTCTTCCCCTATGTGCGTGAAAACCTGTCAGCATACCTAAAGGAGAACTGGTCTGAGGCTAGTTTCCAGGAAACGTTGAAGAAGTTGGTCGAACAGTCGAAGGCTGACATTGAGGCCAAGCTTGAGGGAGCCATTGCTCTTGATGACGAAGAGGAGTCGGCTGAAAAAGCTCAAGAAGCTGTGAAGAACAGTGTTCTCTGGATGATGGACTCTGACCGAAAGGTTGGTGCCCTCAAGCAGCTTCAGGGCAGCATGTACGTCAAGGGTTATGAGAAGGGTGACCTTAATGGACAGTAAGTTTACGATACATATTGTGTGGGCAGATTTGAAAATTTTATATCTCGACAGTTTGTATGATGATGTGGTGCCCCAACTGAGGAAGTGGACTGAGGCGGAGAAGAAAATTTATATCTTCTCGTCTGGCAGTGTTGAGGCTCAAAAGTTGCTCTTCGGCAACTCAGTTGAAGGAGACATTACCAAGATGATTGCCGACTATTTTGACACTGAAGTAGGCCCTAAGGTTGAGAAGGAGAGTTACGTCAAAATTGCCGAAAAAGTGGGCAAGCCGGTTGGCGAAATTCTGTTCTTCACAGATGTTGTTAAGGGTAAGTTGATTACATTGATTCAGTAATGCTGTTGCTTATTCAAGGATGGATGTGATCTCAATTTATGCATTAAAATAACTTTCCGCGATTATAAATGATTGCCTGCAATAGACCACCTTTTGCGATCGCGATCATCTTTTCAAAAAATGGTGCGATTGCAATCGCAGATCACTTTTGTGATTTTGTCCATCCTTGCTTCTTTTATCTATTGCTCCAAACATTTAAAGTATTTGGAAATATAAATTTAAACTGATCTTAATTGATTGTAATGAAATAAAATTGATTATAAATATTTTGGAAAAGTGATGTTATTAATAATATTTATTAAAATTTTGTTTCACCAGAGGCTGAAGCTGCCAAGGAAGCAGGATTGGCTGTTGTCTTGCTGGAGCGAGAAGGCAATTCCCCCCTCTCAGATGAGGACAAGACCAAGTATACCGTAATTTCCAGCTTCAAACTTGAAGAGCCTGAGGAGGAAGAGGTCCCGGCCAAAAAGCCAAAACTTGACGAGGAGGCTGTTGCTACTGAGGAGAAGCCCACAGAAGAGAAGGAAGAGGAGAAGAAAGAAGAAACGAAAGTGGAAGATGTAGAGATGAAGGCTGAAGAAGTATGTGTATTTCATCTTACTAGGCTTTGATGCTAAACATTAAATTCTAATTTTTCCAGACTGAAGAAGCCAAGGAAAATGGTGATAAGAAGGAAGAAGTTGATAGTAAGGAGAATGGTGAGGAGGAGGAGAAGAAAGAAGTGAATGGCACGAATGGAGTTCATCAAGAGAACGGTACCAACGGAACTGAAGAGAAGACGGAGACCAATGGCGTGTCAAATGGAGACGCGAAAACTGAAGAAACCGTCTCTGAGAAAACTGTTTCCCCAACTAAGAAAGTTGTGACTGAGGAGACCGCAGAGGAAGCTCCTGAGGTTACAGCAGAGTAACTAACTCACTTAAACAGGCAACAGCTCCATTCTCACTTTCCTCCAGCTGTTGCCTGCCCAAATATAGTGTAAGAATTTTATCTGTGTCACATTTTCCCACTTGACTGTACTGGTTGTGAGGCAGAAAGAGCAGAAGGCATCCAACTTAACTGTAATGTATCAATTAAAAAAAAACGAATCACTACCATACTAGCTGATAAGCACAACAAAATTGTTTCAAGTGTATTTTTGGTAACATGTTATCACCTTGCTGCCTGGTTCGCAGCAAGAATTCGGAACTGCCAGGGTCTTCCATCTGCACTGCTCAAAATTTCAACCGTCTGCTAACAAAAAAGATGTGTGCTCTCTGTGCTTAGTTAAATTTTAAGTTGAGATGTTCCTGATAAGGGTTAATTTAATTACGACGAGTGATGTTCAGTATTTGATTTTGAATGTATACGCACTAGAATCTCATAGTTTCAACATTTCTAATGTGACACCTAGGATTCAAGGAAGCATCGATCAACATTTATCTTTAATAGCTGACCTTAGCGCAGCTCTTTTAATCTTAGATGATCAATTCCTAATTTTCAGCGTGATTTTTGTAGCTAAACTACCATTCCATTTTTAATTTATTTCATTGTACACAAATGTACCACCTTTTGAAATAAATCAGAATTGAGAAATTGTGTATTTCATTATTTACACTACCTGAGCGCCACCTGCTGTCATTGGTGGAGAGAGGAATGTGGAAGGTCAAACAGGTTTCTTAAATGTTTCCAACTTGGGTATAGACGCAGTTGTTTATATATATTAATTACATTTCGATTTCGTGACAAAGATAGTTCGTCATGTCCAATGAGCACGACCAGGCTGTTTTGAACAGCATCTTCAACCCTCTACTGCCAGTCGGTGAAGCTGCATTTGAGTTTAATCTTCCAGTTGATGGTAAGTCTAATTGTAAGTCGCAAGGGATATTGTACTTTGGGCACTGATATATGAGCTCCAAAAAGTTGCTGCCCTTGAAAAGAATATCCTTCAGTTAATTTATATCTTAAGATGTAAATTATTTTTAAGTAAAATTGCTGATCAAAGTCATTTCAGTGCCGCTGTTAGTTTATGAACCATGTATTCACAACTAAATATTTTTTAATTAAAATGGAACAATAATTTCATTGTTCTAATTAGTTTTTAATAGATAACATAAATCCAAATGTTAATAAATAAAAAAATTTTGCATTGCAACCTCTCTAGTATTAAATCATCAATTTTTTGTTGAAATAATATCATTATAATGTAATTTAAGTTTTTTTTATACACCGGAATATTTTAAATTGCATAAAAAACATCTACAATCCCTTTCTCCTAGATGATGAGGAAATTTCTGCAGAAATTGAAGAAGCGAAGCGACTTGAACTGCAGGGTGTCCAAGCTGCAGAGGCTGGTAAAATAGACGAAGCTATTGCAATTTTCACACATGCCATTGCTGTTGCGCCCGGGCATGCCTCTGGATACAACAATAGAGCGCAGGCTCTTCGTCTTAAAGGGAATATGCCGGGTATGTAATTATTAATAAAATTTTATACTGCATCCATAACTATATTATGTTTTAAATAAAAGGGGCTTTGGTTGATTTGAATAAGGCATTGAGCCTTACGGGTGGCAAAGGCAAGTCTGCGTGTCAAGCTTTTTGTCAGCGGGCGCAGATTTTCATGAAAGAGGGCCATCAAGATATGGCAAAGAAGGATTTGGAAGCTGCAGCAGCTCAAGGGAATGCATTTGCCAAAACACAGGTTTGAACTTGGTAGAAAAGAAACCCATAATTTTGATTTTTTTTTTCAAAAGCTTGCCCAAATGAATCCATATGCGGCTCTGTGCAACAAGATGCTGCAGGAAGCGTTTTTAAAATTGCAGAGGGGCGAGCCAGATTGCCAAACGAAATCATAAAAGTGGTGATATTGCACGCTTAAATATTTTCAAATACTTAAGGGAAATGGTAGAATTTTTAAACACATTTGATATTATGCATCGCATTTTACTGTATTTAATAAAATATTTAGTCAAATTCACAAAATGATTCCACTAATTGCATGTCAAGAGTGCCCAACACTTGAAGTGGCTGGAAATGCAAAAGCAAAATCAAGTTATCAGAGAATGCAAATCATAGGAATTTCATTGATTGTGGACAAACTGTTGGAAGGGAAGTCGGGAGTGGTAACGTAAATACACAACAAATTGAATCAAATTAACTAGTAGCGGTATGAGAAGTATCGGAAAAGTTATGCAACCCAAAATTGCATCTCAGAATAGGATAGTTTGATGGCTAGCAGTTGAGCAAGAAGAAATTTAATAAATACAAAATGAAAGTTTTCATGGAGATTAGAATGTTACGAAGTGACTTCTTCGTGCTCCACCATTTCAAAGTCTTTTCCAGTCTGAGACTTTTGGCTGCTCTCAGATTCGCTCGCACTGTTGTCAATCTCCCCTTCATTAGCACCAGTACTGAAACAATTGTAAAATTATAAAATATCAACAGTTATATTTTGCAGCGCAGTATAAAAAAAATTCACCAATCTTACTAAATTATTGGTCGGAATGATTTGTTCTGAAATTAGTATCCTTGATAACACTCCCGAAAAATATTTAAATAAACTTACTTTTCCTCTTCCACCAGCTTTGTTGTTTCTTCTTCCTCTTCAGCGTCAGAATCTTTAGCTTTTTTCTTCTTCTTTGACTTGTCTCCAGATTTTTTACCTTTGTACTCATACTGATTGTGAGAGGTAAGAAAATTTATAATCTTTCCAAATGGCACTCAAAATTATCAAACCTGGTAAAGAGGCCAAAATGACGGTAAAAACCCAACATCTTCTGTGAGATTTGGCAGAAGCCACAAGTGATGCTTGCCCAACGTCAATGCCCACAAGAGACAGAAAACGAGAACTCGCAAAATTGCCAGAGCGATGATGAAGATCAAGAAACCAGCTGCAGCCACACTCAGATAGTAAACACCTTTCCTGCTCAGAAAATCCAAATTTGTGAGACTTTGTAAATTTCTCTATGTTGTATTATACCTAACAACAGGTGGCCAGAGAGGGAATAGGCAGATTGCAATAGCTCCAACAACAAGAAGACTTCCAAAAAACCAGTAGTAAACTGGAATGGGGTCGTAAATCCAGACGTAAGCATCCAGGCAGTCTGCAAAAACTTGTTCCATGTGCATTTCCAGGCGAATTTTCCTCTTCTTTTTGTCCTTTTCCTTATCCTTGCCCTCCTGCAAAAAGATATACATTATAATAAAATAACCCGCTTTTCATTGAAGGTAAAATGACTGGGCTTACCAAAGTTGCTGTAGTTTCGTCTTTTCGTTCACACTCCGTATGACTGCTCTCATCGTCCTCCTTTTTCTTTGCAGGCTCCTTCTTTTTCAGTTTGGCCTTCAGCTCTTGCTCCGACACAGGAACTTTGCGTGCACGGTGGAAAAATTTTAACACCAGCATCCTAGATAATAGGTTATAATAATTCAATATCTAAAAATTGATTTATTTATATACTCATTCAGGAATTGCACAGCATCAGATCGAGTAGCAAACAAAGGTTCTTTCCCATCTTTTTCAGCTGCAAAATGTGATTCCATCAAAGCATCAATCGCTTTGCTTCCTGAAATGAAAAAAATCATGAATAAAAAAAAATCAAAGAAATGTGAAAATAACTTTGATGACAGGAGGGGGATAAAATGAGGAATGGAAGTATCATTTACCTGTGAAATACTCCACATTGTGACTGAGGAATTTTGTTTTCTTGGAAGGTACATTTTTTCGAAGCCACTTTGCTACTGTGTAGCAAGTTTTGGATGGCTTGTCAATCTTGGAAGGAGCGTCAAGTTCCTACAAAATTGCTCAACAATTAAGACACGAACAAAAAAAATTTATTTCACAAACAAATTACTTTGTCAGCAAAAAATCCACTCTAGTAAGCAGTGCTCGATGACATAATTATTATTTATCTTAGCTGACCCCGCAGCACCTTACGCGGATCGAATTGTCATGAATGCTATTTTTGATGTACCGTTATCTCGTGATGAGAATGAAGATCCTCGCATACGTTCGCAAAAATACGGGACTTTTTAATTTCACAGAAAACGGGATAGCGACGGTAGCGTTCCCAATAAAATTAAAATCTCTATTCTTTCATCGCAGACACGGTGAGAAAAATTATAATAGGAATAAACTTCGAGAATATAATAATTTGTAAGACGTCATTGATGCAAGTGGCAAGATTAAAAGCGTGTGTACATTGACGGATGGAATTTTAAGACGCAGATTTTTATGCAATGGAAAGGTGCACGACCGAAATCAAACTTGAATTACAATGTGTGAAAACAAGTTATCAATTCCTAGCATGCAGCATGTGTGTTTAAGCAGAATTATTGCGAAATTAGTAGATTTTCTCACCTCTCTTTTCTTCTTCGTCTTCCGTTTCTCTGCCATGTTTACTTTTTCGCTTTGTCGACCTGTCACATTTGAGAACCTCCTTGGCCTCTAAAGGTTGGATTCTGCGCACAAGAACGAATTCCCCTGCCTGGCCCTGCCGACCATGCACATCTGATCGGATGGCATGTTTGCGGATGGCATTTTTAGCTGCCACTCAATTAATTTTGGCTCACGCTTCGCCCCTGGAATGAATCGAATTTGAGTTTCTTGTCCCGACTCAACGTTCGACCGATATGGCAGCCATCGAGGACAACGACGCGTGCGACAACTGGGAAGAACTCGAGGATTCAGGAGTGAGTTGCATCGCAATCACTGACCCCATTTCAATGCACTTTCAAAAGATGATCATCTCGCTGAAATCTGGTTGATGCCTTTTTATTGAGACCAAACTATGTTTCAGGAACTGGACAAAAAATTGAAAATTATGCAACCTAGAAGAGACCAGCAATCAAATCAAAGGTTTGTCACTCCAAATATAATATAATGTTTATTTTTTAATTTGAGTGCAATTAACCGAACTGCCTTTTTAATACAGTAATGGAGCTGTGGTAATAATTCAGGATGAAAGCCTCCGGTCCATGCTTGGCCCTCAAGAACCGACAGTGAAGATATTAAAAAGACCCACCAAGACCAGTGATAGCCAAGTTACCCCCGACCAACCTGTAAGAAGACACAAAACTCTGCAAGAGGTATTAATCAATTTCTTAAAATTACACAACAAAATATGCTCAACTTCATATTAAATAGAGAGAACAAGAATACGCCGAGGCACGGCTGCGCATCTTGGGGTCGGCTTGCAGTCCTTTGGAAGCTAATAATTCCAATTCAAATAACGATAAGTAAGTTCACCTATCAACTGCCTGAAAATAATACAAAGAAACAAAATGAATGTATTTTGTGAATGTTTTATTTTGAATCTGTTTGCTGATAAGTGATTTTTTTAGTGTGAAAGGCATCCAACCCCAAACGAACGGCCATTTAAATGGACCTAAAAGTGGAGATCAACAGTGTTTGCGCCAAGACTTGGACTCAAATGTGATTCGGGTGCCGAAAGGTCCGGATGGTACAAAAGGATTCTCAAGAAGGTGAAGTGCCCTTTTAATGGACAATTATCGACATAAGTTAAGAAAGAGTGCAGTAATTTCTACGTACTAACAATGGCAAACTGGCATACAACGAGATGCGTGTAACATAGAAAGAGCCAAATTCCGTTTTGTTCTTTTTTAAACTACCACGATTTTAACCTGCTTAATTTATTTGCTAGTTAAAAAATATCAATTCGATTAACCTTTTTTGACATGAATTATTTTGCCTGCATGTTGATATGTTACTCTCAAGGTTAAGTTTCTTTTAGTGTAGTGGCAAGCCTATTTTTTGGCCAAACGTAGCGAAATGTATTAAATTTTATCAAAAGTGGGTTATCCTTATTAAACACCTTCAGTGCGAACTTGCTAACCTGCACAATATCATGAGTACATGACATGTAATATTAAAAGGTTTTGTGGATGTTAATTGTCTGGTACTGATTATTTTGTATTGAATTCTATGTAATTACTTTAAACTTGGGTCACGGAGTTCTCAAAATGAGTATGTACGAAGAGCTATTTTCTTGTACTGTATATTTGGATGCAACAGAGCATAAAGTAAAATAATAATCGTAATAATACAATTATGCAAACAGTGACTTTTGAGCAAGAACAATGCTATGGTGGGTTGACGAACCACTTTGAGAAAGTACGATCAAATTAAATGAAGGCTACCTGCCCAAAAACTAAACTGAACAGTTTCTCTGAACTCCAGATTCTCCACTATATATACTTGAATCAACAATTGGCGTCACAACACTTGTGCTCCATTTTGTCTAACTCAGAATGCCACAATTTCAGAATTTGTTCTTGTTTCCATTCAATCTTCTCCCATCCTGTCAATTCTGGGGGAGTTTCCTCTAAGGAAATCGGTCTTACGTCGTCAACTTCCATCTCTTCATATATTGGATTTTGAGTTAAATTATTTGTTATTTGAGAAATGCTACATGGCTGCTCATTTGCCTGCCCAATTTGGATTGGATTCAATTCTAAGCTTTGTAGATCATTTTGATTGCCAAAGTCGTATGAATCTAAAACGCAAAAAAAAAAAATATTGAATGATTTAGTAAAGGTCCTTGAAATTCACAAGTACCATTTATAAGAGATAGACTTGAAAGTTCGGTATTTTGAGTGCCTTTTCCATTTGTCCTGTTCTGAGTTTGCGATTCTTTGATCCTTTGACATGTCTGCACTCGTCTCAAGGGTACTCGTTTTTTCTGTTTCCTTAAAAATTCAAAACATTCATAATCCTTGTTATAAACCATTACAAACTTTTTACTTGGGGGCCACAATAACCTCTGCATGTTCACGGCCAGTATTTTGCTTTGGCTGGTATTTGGTGCTCAAGGTTACCAGGGAAATCTTTTTGCCACGATGGGTGGAGAATATCAATGAGTAAGCCTTCAGCCTACTCAGCACTTGTCCTTTGAAGTACTCTTTGCACCAGTCTTGAACACTCAGGTGAATCTTTGAATCGGTTCCAAGGATGGTTCCATCTTTCTTTAGAGTCCCAACGACTCTTGGAGCATCCTAAAATTTTTAAATAATTTTATTTTCTAACTCTCATTATTAAGTATTATTCTTACCGGAACACGCAATTCTAAATTCAAGTTTTTGGCTTGTAGCAGATTTACGTCCAATAGCTCTTTCAGTGAAGGGAGGTAGTTTTCAGCATCCTTTTATTTTCAAGTAGAATGTAACGTAACAGATCATTATTTATTTTACTTCACGAAAGGCACCTGAAAATCTCATACCTGTGAAATTTGTCCATGATTCGGAGTTTTTTCAGTGGGAGCAAGTGGCTGTTGACTATTCTGCGAACTAAATTGACATTTTTGTTGTAATAGTTCATAATATTTTTAAATCCTTGATTGAATTCTCACTTGCTGATTTTTAAATTAATGTTCGTAAGGTGCACCTTCAGTTCTTGGCACTGACTGGAAATGTTGTTCAGTCGCTGTAAAAATAATTTTTATTGCAAATTATATTTTGTTATTTAAATAAGTTAAAACCTACCTTTCTCTCTGACCTACTGGCAGAAGTTTCAAGGGATCCTTGCTTTATTTCAATCTGCGATAGAGCTGCTTCGGCATCAATAACTTCTTTCAAACTCAACTCAGCGCTATTTCCTTTTGCCAAAACCTGACTTTCAATTTCAAATACTTTCTTCTCCAATTCAAGAATATTTTGGTGAATACTTGGTTTCTGCCAAAAATAGTTTAGACTTGTATTTTATTTGCTGTACTTTTTTTCTTGAATTATAAAGAGTTATTTTATTTAAATTTTTACCCAGGAAATTTCAGCATCATGAATGTTGCGGTCGACTATTTGAGATGAGCAATTTGCTGATTGATCAAAACTTCTTATTTGTGGTTGCAGTCTCTTCATAGTCTTCATCAATAGGTTGGTACCACTTTTCTTGTGTGGCAAAGGCTCAAGTAAAAAAAAAAAATATGTTAAAATTAAGAAAGAAAAAATGGAAAAATGCAAATGCACCAGAAAAAATAATCTTAATTTTCATATACTTGGATTTTTAAAAATAATCATGCTATTATATTATGTAAGTTGATAGATTTTTTAAAAATACTTTTTTGGGCTGCGAGAAGAATTCTTCCGTTGGTGGGTTATTTTGAGTCGTATTTTCTTCTTGACTTGGGCTCAGTGGCCAGCTCAAGCTTCCGTCCTGCGATTTGTGCGCCAATGGATTGTCCCCTTGTGTCTGTGCAGTCTGTGTGCCAAGGTTGATTGGGGCATTGAAGCAGTCTTCAGCTTGCGAAAAAAACGTTTCCTGGGAGTCATTAGTCCGCGTTTGAGGTTCATTTTCTTGTGAAGGCCAGACAGATGCCTGAGAAAGCTGAATTGGTGGATATTCGAGTTTCCTGCGAACTGGACGAATCACGGGAGAGCTGTTTTGCAAGGAAACATTGTTATTTATTATATTATATAGTAACAGCTAACAATAACCCCAACAAGTATAAAGTTAAATGATACAAATAATTTAATTATGGTACATATTAATAATATTATTATTTATAAACAAAACTTAATTCAGGGAATTTATGAAAATAAATCATATATACTTACTAAATATTGGAACTAGTCATTGTGATCAACGTGCTCAGCAAATGATGATGAAAGTTTTTGAATAAAAATCACCGAGGCGTCGAGAATTTTGTGTTGGCGCTTTTTCCACCGCCGCACCAATTGACAATTGTCACTAGTTCTCGCTGGGGCCGCAACGCTGTGCTGCTGCTCGATCACAGCCAATCACAGCGCCATCGTGTTTTGTTTATCTGTCTAGTGTCTGTGTCAAGATCCTTGGTGTTGAGGCTGCCATAATTTTGCAGCAATTTTTGCAGGCAGTCGTGTTACTTATTGAAAGTTGCAGTTTGTCGCTAATTGCATACGTTGACTGACATTTTTTCACCGCCTCTACGACTGGAATCATGCAGGAAGATAAGGAGGAAAAGCAGGAAATTCTCAGAACCATTCCTGCGAATCTAAAACAACTGCGAGCGTGCATGGCGTGTTCATTGATCAAAGTACGGCATCTTTAATTTTTTTATAATTTCGGGCTGAATAATATGTTATTTTTCCCAAACTTAAAATTGTCTCTGTAATTCCAGTCCGCTGACCAGTTTGAAAAGGATGGTTGCGATAATTGCGATGATTTTCTCCACATGAAAGGAAACAGGGACACAGTCTACGACTGCACAAGCACCAACTTTGATGGGTACGAATTTGTTTACGTACTTAAGTTGTCAATATATTTTTATAATTTTTGTCTTTCCATAGTATGATCGCTGCAATGAGCAACGAGGACAGTTGGGTCTGCAGATGGCAAAGAATAAGTATGTATGATATAATTTATTTTGTGGTTGTGAAGTGTAAACTTTTTTTGATGAGAAACTTAATGAGAGTTATAAGTTGGTAATCATTGGTAAACATGATTTTCATTCAATTATGTAAATCTTTTGCATTTTCTTAAAATTGAAAAAGTAATCAAACATTTTTGAATTAAATAATTTTTCTTTACCAGATCACTTCGTCAAAGGAATGTACGCAATTTCCGTAGCCGGCAGGCTGCCTTCGGGAGTTTTGCGAGACATGAAGAGAAGAGGCATTCCCTACAGAAACAGAGACACACGTCAAATGTTTAGTTCTACGTGAAGTGTGTTCATTTTCTACTTTCTTAGCGTATGAAATCATCATTCAAAAATGTATGTGTAAAGACGTAAGATAATTGTTTATATTATCTACTAATTATCAGAAGGGTATTATATCTTGAGCAAGACATAAATTTTTGTTAACAAATAAATAATAAAATAAAATAAACTAGAGTTATAAGAAGTGCATAAAAATCACAAAGTTTGGATTTTTTGTTTCTTTTTTGACATGTAATGTATAAACATAAATGGGAAATATTTTTTACAAATTTGAACAAACGGAGCAACATAAATTGAGCAGCATTTTGCCGTCTTGCCCACTCTCGCCATAAAAATGAAAAGGAAAGAATATTGACACTAGTCAGAGAACGCTCTTCTTCTTTTTAGATGGGAAATAAGGAATAAAATATGAATAAGAAACACAATTATTTATTTGAGATGAGGTTTCAATTTGAAGAAATAAGAGAATTTTAATGGTTAAAAAAATTGCAAATTGTCAAGCATATCATAGATAGATGGCAGCACTCGCTACTCCCTAGCGCGAACAAATTTTTTTATTTACTTTTTTGAGGGGGAGTGTTTTGTGGACAGGACAACACGATTATTCTCAGGGAAATTTTTATTATTTTATTTAGTGGAGCTGTCAAAAATGGCAAATGAAGAGGAGCTCAAGGAATATCGCTGGGAGACTGGCTACGAGAAAACTTGGTAAATAATAAATTAAATAGACCATTCAAGGAAACATGAAAATTTGCAAAACTGAAAGGCACTTTTGCAATTTATTGTTAAGGAATTTATGAAATTTATATTTGCTGTGATGAAATTTTGCGCTAGTTGTATGGTATGAACTTTTATTGTTTTTAAAAATTATTTTTCATTTTAAATATTTCCTGATTTCTTTCCTAAGGGAGGCCATCAAGGAAGATGACGAAGGTCTCTTGGACGCCTCTGTGGCGGAAATTATCCAAAAAGCCAAAAGAAAGCGAATGCTGGAGAAGAAGAACAATGCCCGATTGGGGATGATGAGGCATTTGTACGTAATCATCGATATGTCTGAATGCATGTCGGATCAAGACCTGAAACCCACAAGACAAATATGCACAATCAAAGTAGGCTTTTCTTTAATTAATATTAAATATTATTTCTAAAGTAAAAATATTTATTTTTAGCTCTTAAATGCATTTATTGAGGAATTCTTCGACCAAAATCCAATCAGCCAAATGGGCATCATAGTGATGAAGAACAAAAGAGCTGAAAAATTGAGCGACTTGACTGGAACAGCTAAAAAGCATGTAAAGGTGGATTACGAAAGCTTTTAAATTACACTGCTTGAAACTAATAACACTTTAAAATTTTTAAAACAGGCATTGAAACAGCTAGAGGGAATGGCATGTAGTGGTGAGCCCAGTTTACAAAATGGTCTTGAAATGGCCCTGCGTTCGCTAAAAATGCTGCCGTCCCACGCCAGCAGAGAAATTCTGGTAATCCTCGGAAGCCTCACCACTTGCGACCCGGGCGACATCAACCAGACCATCAATGTAGGCTTAAAAACAAGTTCAACGAGATTGAAAATTAATTATTTCTTTTCAGGAGTTAAAAGAAAATGTGATCCAATGTTCGTTGATATCCTTAGCAGGAGAGGTTCACATTTGCAGGACAATGGCAAAAATCACAGGGGGTCAGTTCGGAGTTGTTCTGGATGACTCGCATTTCAAAGATCTGCTTCTCTTACACGTTGAGCCTCCACCGGCTGCTGCAAAACTGGAACCTGCACTAATAAAAATGGGGTTTCCTCACCATGTCACTGGTGCGGTTGGGCAGAGCAAAGATGCCCCACTGTTGGCAATTTGCATGTGGTATGTAATTTTTTTTTCCTTTCGAACGTAAGACCCATCGAGACCGGTCAGGACCATTGGTATCAAAAAATTAATTTTCCTTCTTTGATATAGTTTCTAATTGAAATTGATTAATTTTGACTATTTTTACTAACAAAATCATGGGATAAAATTTTCTCCGATTACCAATCATGATAAAGTTCCGAGAAAGGCCGAAACCGGTTGAGACCCACTGATACCAATGGTCTCGACCGTTCTCGATGGGTCTCACGTCTGACAAGGGTTTTCTTAAATATACCCTCATAATTATTATCTCTGTACCAAATCTTATAATAACTTTGAAATATTAGAATTAAATATAAATTTTCTCCATTTTTTCCAGCCACCTAGATACACCCAGCGAAAGCAAACTATGTGCTGGTGGATACTTTTGCCCCCAATGCAACAGCAAATACTGCGAACTGCCAGTTGAGTGCAAGGCGTGTGGCCTCACCTTGGCTTCGGCTCCTCATTTGGCCCGCTCGTACCATCATCTGTTCCCGGTCGCACCGTTTACTGAACTGCCTTTCCACGTCGACGACGATAATAGTCCTTGCTACAGCTGTCAAAGAACTTACTTAACTTCCAAAGACAAAAATGTAATTTTTGTTTTCCAAAATATTTATTATGAAATTAATTATTTTGATTTGTTTTATTTTTGCAGATTTATAAATGCAGCAGGTGTTTGCAAATTTTCTGCGTTGACTGCGACATTTTTGTCCACGAGACGCTTCACATGTGTCCCGGCTGTGCCTCTCATCCATCTACAACTTCCCAGCTCAAGTAAATATAGATTACTAGGAAATAATAAACATTAAGTCATAATTCTACATCTATATTTTTATTTTCAAAATTCAGTAAGTTCATTAAAAAATCTGTTTGTTATAAAACTCTGAAGTTTTCTTCCAAATTGATTTTTTAACTCATTTTTTGCAAAATGTTTCATTTCGGGTTTAGACTAACGAAATAAATGTCAAGAAAAATTCTTGATTTATTAGACACCTGAGTGTACCAATTTTTATTTACATTCAATTACATTTCATTTTTTTCCATACATTCAATCATAACAAAAATCAATACATATATCAGCTTTTTCTTTTGCGTGATTATAATTGTTGCGTTGACCATCAAGACTGTTTTTGTTTCATTGTTGGAATTCAGTAAATTAATACGTCTACTTAATACATTATCCTTTGGTAAGCCTTTTTTTTAGGTATATTTAGCAATAATTGTTTTATGTTTTTCCTGTGAGGGTGTCTATTTGATCAGCAGTTACACAGAACGCACAAACATTTCATCATTTCTTTTCAAAAATATATTAGTGCAGATATGATATCATAATGCGGTTAACATCATCCGTACACTCGCTATAACTGATAAACGGATACTTTGAAGAATTTAAGACTTAAGCCCTGCATGCATGAAATATTTTCAACACAATCCTTCGTGGCCTAAACACATAATTTTTTTTGTCAATACAATTTTGCTCTAAAAAGATCAGGTACATCAATTGCAAAAAGCATCTACCACGAACAAGGGTAAATTAACACACCGCCATTTTATCATTTAATCAGAAAAGGAAAGAAATTTAGAAGTGTTGTTTTATGCACATTAAACAATAATACTTTATCCTACTTTCATATATGTTTATCATCATATCCTTGAAGAATAATAACTAACGGCTGTACCGGGCTGTACATTGACATGTCTAAACGTACATTGTTTTGGTTTGCCTAGCCAGATGAGTGGTGCCATTGGATTAACTGATTTTGTGCAAACGTCGAATCTACTTCGTAATGATATAATTGTAAAAATATTCTCGTCACCACTTTCATTTCGCAATCGGAAAATAATTTTAGAACCTCTTTTTTCAATAGAAATCACTGCTTCAATTTTAATTCAAAGACATTTTTAGAGTTACAAACTAAATTATGTGTTGGCGATACAGAAATTAATCCATAATTATGCATCTTGACGCTTAATAATTAATCAGAGATCACACAGTAAGATAAATATATATTTTCTCGCAGAGCAAAATAATAATAAGAAGGAAATGTTTGACTGTACAGAGTAATCTATAATGTGAATACACGTGTGTATTATATACAACTTTGGTAGTGGGGTATACATTAATGCGTACAATGATAATAATGTTTTTTTTGCAATTCTTCCTCTGTCTGAAAATCAATCGTCGCTGTGATTGGGTCAAAACTAATAAAAACTGCTTCGAAAAATCAGCGTCAAAACGTTCATTTTACAAGGCCGGCATTCTCTTCGCAGCCGCCTTTCCAACAATAAATTAGAAAAATTTAACGAAAACATTTTATCTTCACTGTATCGCAGTTGAAGTCCGTCTCAATTAAAAATCAGAACCACTTTTAGACAGCAGAACTCTCGCTGCCGCTGACGCACTCTCGGAGCACAGAGCGCAGTCGGTGCAGCTCGGAGGAGGCCCCGTGCAGGTCCATCTGCAACTGCATTTCTTGCTCCTTGAGCCTCTTGATGTCACGCTGGCAGGTCTGATGGCAGAAGATTCACACAGATTTAGTTTCTTGTCTAATAGTCAACGAGCGTCTACATTCACCAACCAACCAACACCACCACCACCACCACCATTTGAGGTCAGCTCATTTTGACTGGCATTATATGTCCCAGGGAAATTATATTTGTGTTAATTTTATGTAAAGAGTTTTGAATGAGAGGAAAAGATAAATTTTGTGAGAGCAGAAGGCAACAAGTGATCTATATATTTGATTGATTTGCATTTTTCGTCTAAAACTTTTTCAATTTAGGATAGTAGCACCAGCGAAACATGAAAAATTAAGGCTGACAAGAGGCTTATATTTTGAAAAAGAGTCAGTCGGTGTTGATTTTGCTAATGGACCACTTAAAAACAATTTTCTTTCAAATAAACGTGTAGAAAAAAAATCAAAACTTTGTTCAATATTCAGTTCCTTTTTCTCAAAAATTGTTCTTAATTCGGTCCACTTTATATTCCAATTATTTATACTTGAAAAAAAAAACGAAAAAAAGATTCCAAATATAGAATAATAATAATAAAAAATACACAATTCTACTGCAACATGTAATAAAATGCGCACATCAAAAAACAAATTCAAGCAAGCAAGGAGAACAGTGATGAAAATATTATTTATTAATTTTTTTTTAAGCAGCAGAAAATATCCCAACAAAAAGAAAAGCCATTGAGAGCAGACAGAAACAAGGCAGAAAGATGAAACAAGTGGAAATAAGAGTTTGAAAATTTATGATCTAGTTTAGCCGGTCAACTTGTGGATCAGCACTCAGTCTTGTTCGATTGGATGAGGAGGAATGAGCAGGGAATTCAGTTGAGGTTGAAGGACTGCCACCATGAGAAGAAAATCGAACGGCGCCTTCACTCACCACATTCTGCCTCAGCAGGTCAAGTTTGTCACACTTGAGTCTGGTGACTTCTTGGCGCAGGCTCTCCAGTTGGCGCGCGACCTCGGCCTCGACGGCGGACGCCGCCTCCGGACACACCTCCTGCTGGCCGTTGCCGTCCATGCAGAAACTGCACGAGATGGGCTTGTGCGGCGTCTCGGCGCTGGACATGCTCTCGAGGCCTGTGTCACTATCACCGTTGTAGACGCCGCCAGTGTCCAGGTCAATACTGTTGAGTGACGAGTCGTCGCTCTCCGAGAGATTCAATCTTTTGGGCAAAGAAGAGAAAAATCCAAAATTGTATTATTTTATTTTGCTTTAATTTTATTTCAGTTACCACAGCTGAGATTAAATTAAACTGAGAAAGCTCTGCTGCAATTTTTATGAATTAAAAGTTTTTGGGAATTAATACAAATTAAATTACCTTGCCGCCCTATGAGTAGGCATATCTGGACTGGACGCTGGTGAGGATGGATTACTGCCCAAATTGTCTTTTCCGCCAGTCTTCTTGACGTTGCTGTCACTGCTATTGCTACCCGTGCTCTTCAAACTTGGTCTTCCATTCTGTAATCAATAAATTAAATGTTAAAATTATTAAAACTTATTTTAAATTAAGACATTACGGTCTGGTTAGGATCACTGATGCCTTGCGTTTTTGGTGCAATCTTTTTCATGCCGACCATGTTGTTGTTGTTGATGTTGGCTGCGTTCAGAGATGTTTCCGAGTTGTTGGATGGGTTCTTTCTTGTTATCACTTTGCGCACTGACTCGATGAACCTGCTGCCTGCCGAATCAGGCTTGTCTGCTTTCGGTGTGTCTGGAGCCGAGGATACAGGGGACTGACCAAGGAACTCCATAGACTTCAACCGAAGTTCATCTACCAACGACGCAAGCAAAGATGCTCTTGTTCGACACTAAAAATTAAATATACAAAATTAATTTAAATTCAAAAAATTGCTGATTTCATTTGTTTAAATTTTTTTTTTTGCAATAAAAATCAATTGTAAAATAACCTCTAGTTTGGCGAATTTCTCAGCCTTGTAGCACGCATTCTCGGCGTTGATGAGTTTGGTCAGCAAGAATTCTCTGAACTCGGGCCCTTTCTTGAAAATGGCCGGGCTGGGTAGCGCCGGTCCGAAGAAGGGCACGTCGTCCCTTGCCGTCACACTCACTTTGTAACTGCATGCACAAAAGAGGAACGTGTTAGTCTCAAGATTCCGTCTTTGGAAAGGTCGCAGAGATCGAGCAAGCTGATCTCGAAGCAAGAAGTAAGACACTCACCTTGTGTTCGGAGTGTTTGGCTCAATGGCTTGGACTACAATGAAAGCGTGGAGGAAGTGCGAGGCGATCATATCGGGTGCGAACGGAGTGTTCGTCTCCTGGAAAACGATAGCCACTATGTCGTTTCCTGAAAGAAAAATAAGTTGTGAATTTGAGATATATATTAAAAATTAATCAAACTAAATTTTAAAAATTAAACATTGTCAACAGTCCAAATTTTTATTAAAAATCTGGAATTGCAAACAGTTAAACTTTTTATTTTATAATTATTTAATTAAAACATTGAGCTTGTTAAGACGTCGCCTAGAAAGTACAGGTTATGCGACCGTCTCGATAAGCATGTTGTGCAGGCTGCCTACATCTGATCTGCCATCCACACTCACTCACCTATGTGCCTTTTGCGTTGCAACTGTTGCGGATCGTTGTCCGCGTACGGTAGCAGTGGCGACACGTGGAACATGATCTCTCTGTCCCTGAAGACGTCGTACACAGCCTCTTCACCCGTCTGGCCGAACTGAATGTCCAGACCGCCTCGGTACCTACAACACCATCAATAATATTAACTTTTGGAGACGAGAGCGTAGGGGTTTTGACGCGCCGAGAAAAAATTAATTCATTTCGGCGAGACCCAAGTGCGTATTTGTCAAAGCCCACGGCGCCGATTGGGTGTGTCGTCGCCACGAGAGAGAACACGCGAAATGAGATTTCCGTGGGCGGTCATTAACCCACTTGCTGTGTACCCGCCATTTCCCATTATTAAACCGCCGAGGTGCATTAACGCAGAAAACGACACCTGCGGCAATTATCCCGAGTGCATGATAAAATTACCAACAGGGCGTATTATACGAAGCCGTAAAAATTCTTCATTAATTAAGTTCTTCATATTCAGGAAATTACAATATATTTATGTAGCAAAATACTTTTAGTACATGTTTTTTTTAATAAAAATCTTTGCTAGTTCTGACAAAACCTGCGACTCTATTTCATCTAAAAGAAAAAAAAATTATCACTAATGAACAAAGTTTGCATCGGATTTATTTATTTAAATATTGTTATTTTTTCAATGAAAGAAACAAATTTAAAATGCCAGGTTTTTTTAGTTTTTGTTAGAAACTGAAGTGCCCACATTATTGAAGAAACCCTTTTAATTTTTGATTTCTATGAATTTGAGTTACTCACCCTTTGTGATCCTTCAGCCTGATCCTCCTACCGAGCATGCTGAGAAACTCGTCTAGCGCCGGCGATGGCGAAGGATTGCTGAACAATTGCTCCTCCGTCGTCTGGCCGAATCTCTGGTACAGGACGCCGAATTTGAAGGTGGACACAAGGACGTGTTCGTCATAGGTTGCGATCAGGTCGGACGCCTTTGGACACAGGATCGGGTTGAACTTGTCTGCCGTGATTTCCTCATTCAGCATCTGCGAACCAATCGTAGATTATTTTTATAGATTTTTCATGAATAATCGTGCGTGGTCACGCGAAAATTCGGATGATTTTTTACTGTTTAATAACAATCACTTCACGTTTTACGACCATCTCCGTGAATCATTAAATTTATTCGCGTGTGCATTATTTGCGTGGTTGGAGGGCCTCAAAAGCATTCCTCGAGGCGAACGAGAATTCCTTTGACTGCTGCGGGCCTCATTATTCCCACACTCTTTTATCTTCTGGCCATAGACGCAAAGTAACACTAACTTCAAAACGAGCGAAAAGTTCCCTGAGGAAAATTAATATTTTCGCACACGCACGCCGAGTGATTTTCTTTCCGGCGGCGTTTTGTTCGTTTTCATTTGCAGCATGATGTGGTTATTTCTCGCCGCTTGCTTGATAAGAGAGGAATATATATGGACAGGAAATGAAATGATTTTAAACGGTCAAAGGAAACAAAAAAAAAATGTTGTTTTGGTGAGATAATTGTTGTGTTGAGGTGCAGAGGGAGTGATTATGCCGCATACCCACAATAAATTTTAGCAAGTTTAGCTTGACACTCATCAATAAAATGCCTTTTAACTGAAAATTATATTTAGTAATTTTATTTTTTCCTCAAAGCTCCCAAATTGTAACGGCCCATATTAAAATAAAAAATCCTGCATTACTTCCATCACAAGAAATTATTATCAAATATTTAATTATAAATTCTTTAGATCATAGTAATGCAGGATTTGTTTTTATAATTTTATGAAATTACAAGCAGAAGAGAGAAAAATTGGTCCAGGACATTTCAAAATGTGATACGTTATTCAACTAAGATATTATTCTTCAGTTTAGCAAAGTTGTGTCTTTTATATTGTATTATACACTTTGAAATCAATACGTTTTTAAGAAAAAAAAATATACCTTGTACTCTCTAGTTCAGCTGTAGTTGATAAACAGCAGAAAATTTAAATTTATATAAATAAATGTAAAATACAATACATATTTAATTGAGTAAAAATATAAATTTAATTTAAAAAATTTTTATTGGATTTCAGCTTTAATAAATTTTAACACGTTTATTTTGTAAAGCTTAAGCAAGAAACCATTGCCAAGCCAAACGGTGCTAGCTTGTTTCATGTTATTTTCGCGCATCATTATTTTGCGAGTGTTCTGCTATTTCTTTAGCAGTCTGGCTATTTTCGGTCACCCACGCCGCCAACAAGAGCGATCGCCAATTACCACAGCATTGATTCCCATCAAGAGCTGAAACGTTTTTGTTGTTGTGGCAAGGTCGCTCGCTCTACAAGAACTCCAGCAACCGAAAATGAAATTGGTGCACGCGTTAGGAATGGTCTGTGGTCTTAGGATCCCTCGTTCTCGCCAGGGCCTCTGCTGCGTTCACGCTTCGGTGGCGCAAATGGTGCTCGCGGAAAACGTGCGAAAGTCATTAAGGCGTTCAAAAATTATGTGAAGGGAAAAATACGAGCAAGCAGTGCGATTTGATTATTCCACAAAAGTAATTCTCAAGGTGCGAGATTTCGAACGAGATATATAAATAAAATCGGTCTCAAGAGAATAATTTCGTATCCGGCTGTGCCAACGGAAGAAAAAAGGAGAAACCAAGAAACGAGTTAATGATTTTTCCTCTGCCAGAGTCGGAAGCACAAAGCGTGATTCCTTCTTTTCTTCCATCGACCCTGAACTGTTGCGTCACGCCCCTAATGTCAAATTTTCATCTCAACTCCCGCAACAGGCAATTTCGGGGCATTCCGAGAATTTCTCTCCCTGATGAGCTCGCCTCTTAATTTGCTTTTACGGCTGCAATTAAAACTTCTGGGAAGTGAGATGTTTTCGGATGAATGGGTTTGAAACTATCATTTATTTATTTACAACCATTCTCGTCCGCTTTTAATTCCATATTGTCAAACTTTCTTTTCTTTATTTATTTCTATATGCGTCCCACTTTGGGCTTTTTGATCGACGATCACTGTGAAACCCTTCAAGGTTGCGGGAGGTTGACTGGAATGAATATTTACGCCTTCAAGGCGACGCATTCCGTATGATTAATTTTTCCCTAGTGCCAATCACAGTCGTGGACATAATTTACCGTGAGATTTGCTCTCAGGAAGAAACCCGAAGAGCGTGTGATCTGCGACCGTTTCGAATAACACACCGGTCTGCTGAGAAAAGGGTAGGCGGAGGATGAGAAATTAGCATACACTTCTGAGCGAGTCGGCCTGTCCTGTGTGTTGACGTTCCCATGACTTAAACTTCGTCATTTTTGGGCATCTCTCTATTTCTCATTTGGAAAAATGTAGGAAGAAAGGTGACTTTCAGTGTAAATGCGCTCCAATATTTCAGAGCCGTCAAAATGTTGCGTTTTGCGCAAAAGTAATGTATGCGCTCGTGAGCAAAAGGAAAAGTGTTTCGCCGGCAACGAGATGTCTGGCAGGCTCATTTATTTTTCAGGCTTTTGTGGTGTAGCCCACGAGAGAGGTGCGCGCGAAGGATGTTTTGTCTTATGCATGTTTCAGCAGCAAGAGGCAACCTTTGCACATTCTGGATGCAATTATTTCTCCTAAAAATATTGCTCATATATGGAAAAATATAGAAAATGGGTATTATGAATTTAATTTATTTCTTTAGCCAGATACCATTATGATTTTTTTTTAAAAGGATTTAATTTCCCCTAATATTATAAATTATAACTTTTCATATATGTTGGAAATTATTAAATTAAAAAATTAACAATTAAATGTAAACAGTTGTAAAAATTAGCACAAAACAACAACAATAAATAATAAAAATAAATAGTTTTAATTATTGTAATAAAAAAAAGAATCAATTGTACAAAATATGAAAATAATAAAATTAAAGCCATATATGCTATTATATTAAATTAAATTATTTATTATAAGTAGTTAAAAATAAAAAATAAAATAAAAGTTCTTAACAAAAAAAATTTGCTAATCAAAAGCGGTTATAACAGTTAAAATTAAAACTAGCGTCGCCAGTTTCTCCTGATCAATCAGTCTCGTCCTAGCTGAAAGTAGATTTTACAAGTGGGTCCGAAAAGCTGCCAGACTCGTAAACTTTTTTATGTGCAAATATAAAAGCAACAGGAGTCAATTTTCTCCTTGCGGTTTCTCCCGAGGAAACATCTCTCACAACGCGCGCTTCCACGAAACATTCTCCGACACGACAAGATGATTACGTTTTCCTCACACACAGGACATAAAATTTACATTTTAATCGATTCGGTTTGTTTGTCTCTCGCGTGGCACTTCATATATATTCTTCGCCTCTAGAGTTTGATAAACGTCATGGGAAGAGGAGCGAAAACGCTGCTGAATGAATTGGTTTCGCGCGCGCACATAGGAAAGAAGCAGCAGCAGCACTTCACTGCAGGCGGCGATTCTCACATTATAGCGAGTGTGATTTAGTGCTGTGCTTTATCTATCGCACGGCCACAGATCAATGAACACGTACATATACGCAGTGTGCGATCTCTCGCGGCAATTGTTTTTCTTTTTGTTCCGAATCGGGGCGTGATCAATGAATTTCCGATCAAACAGCAGAGGTCACTTTTGTTTTTACCAAGTGCTCGGAAAATTTCCAGCGGCGAATCTCCGGGGGATTCAATCGTAATTCACGCATCAGTGGAAACAATTCATTTCTGATTTAAAAGGTTGAATAAGTTTCGTTTGATCGAAGTCTCAGATTTTTTTTTCAAATAAGGAAAAGAGAAACAATATTCTTGATGCAAGTAGTTTGTCTAGACCAAAGGATATTCTTCTTTGGCTTGTTGCAAAAGTTCATGGCGGAGCTTTAAAGGCTCGCTCCGTGTTTGTTTTATCAGGGCGAAGCAGTCAGTCGGTCTGGCGTGGGTCGTTGTGCGGTGTGCATACAAACAGGCGACGCCGGCAAGACGAGCTAGAGAGTCCCTCGCCTAATAACAAACGACCTGCCACCCCCGCCCAAGCCAAGTGGGGCGAAATTAGATTTTGGCGCTCGCTGATCAGACGTCGGATTGGAACTGGTGTACCAAAAATAGCGGCAAAAAAAAATCGCGGCCCCGATTCTCCGTCGTGTCTCTCAAGAGAGTTGAAAATCTTGACATCGCCAAGTGTCCCATTGTCTGCGTCTGGAAAATTCCCATGGCACCAAAAAATTTTAAGATTGGACTCTGCGAGGCGTAGCAAGAAATTAACGCCTGGCTCATTTGGGAAGATCATTTGAGAGCGTGCGTGTGAGAGAATTGTATATTTGATAGCGATAATTGATCATGCAATTCTTTTAATTGACTTCACGAACTACTTTGCCACCTTAAAATTGAGTTGAATTGAAGTAAATCAGAAGTTTATTACCCTCGGTGAAGGTCTTACGTACATTTCTTATCAAATTCTCACCAAAAGACGGAAACAGTGGCTTGAGCCTTGAGTTAATGAAAGTAAATGGACCTAAAAATAAATTTTTTAACCACAATCCTGGTATTTAAATTGTATATTTTTGCCAAATAACAAAAATAAAATATAAATATTATAAAAAAGGAAAATTTCCGTTTTTTTTTTTTATCACAAAGCATTTTGCCTTAATAGCCTAGAGATTAGTTTATTTAAAACTGTTAAAGTTGCCCTTAACATTTTATATCTTTGAGGCCTTTGCCAAGGAAAACAAATCCTTTCCAGCATTAAATTCACCGATAATTACAGCCAAGCCGAAACACTTAAGCCGTCAAAGTCCGATCAGCTGCATCCTCACACCAGCTGCATCTCCTTCTAATTACTCTCGTGTAAACATGATTTTGATTTTATGCATCTGGCGCTTGAGTCGCACGAGGCCTCATTTTACACAGCATCAAATCCGTTCGTTCCCTCTCTGGACCGGTATAATTATACACGGCACTTATTAGAGAACCATTTTCACCTGGCTCAAAAGGCCGGTCACGCATTTTCCTCTAATTTTCACCATTTTTACGCACTAACAAAGGTAGTCTTTGTTGCACATAAAAAGTGTTAAAAGAGAAGCAGACGAGCGTGATTTTTGACGCTCCTTGCGTTTGAATAATTTTCTCTCTCTTCAGACTTGCGGTTCAAGGGCGCGGGGGAGAGGTTTCCAGTCAAGGGGTTACGACCTGCGAGCCCGAAAACGATCATTACCTGGCGGGAAAACGTATACCTGGTTATTATCTACTGAGGGAGCACATTTGAGAGTCCATCAACGGAGAAAAATATGAGTTTTTCACACGTAGCTGTTAAAAAAAGTCGTTTTTTTAAGAGTGATGGATTGGGCTGGGAAATTATGGTTGGGTGAGAAAAAGTGGAGAGCACACGAACACGATGAGGGAGAATTAATTTAAGTCTTGTGTGGAAATAATAAATTTAGGGGGAGTAAAAATTTAGAGTTGCCGGGCCAGGTCATGGAGAGAACGTGATTTAGTATATTTTGTATTAGAATCGAGGACAATGCCGATTGCCAGCAATCATTTTCAGCACATTAATCGCTGAGTCTCGCATTTCCATTTAACTCTCTACAACAAAGGTCGAACAACAGTTACGTCGCGCGAGAAACAATTCGGCACTAATCGTTTTTCGATATATCGCCAAACCAACCGCGGGAAGAAACACGAGAGGAGAAACAAAGATCGGTGAGAAAACATAACGTCTGCTATCTGCAGTGGAAAATCCTTCTTTTATTTCAGTCTGCGTGAAAAAGATTAGGAGGAAGATATGAAATTATACAGTTGAATGATGCTTAAAAAGTTACTACACAAAAGAGATAAAAGTAATTTTGTTCACAGACGTTGAAATGTTTTTGTTACATATTAGGACGCGATTTGAATTTCAAACTAAGGGTGGAGTCGTGTAATATAATGACGATGCCCGCTCGATTTCTAGGCGTGATCTGCACATGGAAACAAAAGTAATTTTTACTTTTCGTTTTGACTATGGGCGTCTCACCCACCGTATATAATTCAGCGCATGTGGTGTTTCCTGAATCGTAATTTTCAGCTGCTGCCGCTTTCATTATATATATGAATCATATAGAAGAAAAATAGATCGGTGCGCGCGCACGAAGAGGATAATGCTTGATTAATTGCGCTCCGGATCAAGGCCAAAATTTATCATGAGCGCCGGACAGCGAGGAATAAATAACCAACTAGTTCTGGCAGCAGCTCTCCTTTCCAGGCAACGAGAGAAAGAGAGGCGGCCCAGAGCAGCTTATTAAATTAAAACTCCGAGTTTAATAATGCAAAATTGGATAAACACATTCCTTTGTTTTGGAGCGATTATCGAAGCCTGCTAAGGACACCAGACGAATTTATCCAAAAATAACCTTCGATAATTGGATCATTTTACAAAAATCCAATGCCACGAATGGAGAGACAAAACATAAATAATGATTTCGTCGTCACGAAATTCCATTCCCAGAGGTCGCAACGCATGAAATATTAAATTTATTGCAGGACCTACCTTTGCCAATTTGGCGGGGTTCGGTGTTTGTTGGATGCACGTGTTTGGCAGCAGTTCATGAACGGTGCCTGACTTGAGTCGAAGGACGAGCCTTGTGTGTTCCTGGCCGGCCATCAGTTCGTTCTTGACGGACAGCAACGCTGGCCCTAAGACAGGGTCATCGGCCACCAGGTTGTAGTGTTCCTGCAATCATTAAGAAAAGCAACACGCTCGTGAACACGATTTTAATAAGTTGGGTTATATAAGCATAAAGTTTTTTTCCCCTTAATTAAAGTAGTCTTCCAAGCTTGAAATTACGAAAAAAAAAACATAAAATGAATGAGGAAGTTAAAACAATGAGCCAAACGTTACTTCTAAATTTACAGGTACTTTAAAGTAATTTATTAACATTACATTTTGCAATTTTTATCCAAATGGAAGGTTATTTATTTAGTTCAAGAGTCCCCTTGAGCACCAAAGTATAAATTTTATTCTTTCATTCTCAAGCAAATGCATAAAAGTTTCTATCTGAATCAGTTCCGCACTGACTAATAGCCCGCAAGTGTAGTTTATTTATATGAAAAGGATTGCCATGATCCACTCCACGGCGGCTTACTCGCGTGTGATCTATTTGCAGCCGCAGGTGGTTCTTTTCAAAGCTCATCATCAATCAGGCGAATTAGCATTTATCAGCTGTCGATCACGTCTCCATATGGAGAACACACACGTGCTCGTTCCCATCATCTCCTATTGGCACCCACGCCCACGAGAGAGACGCACGTCTCTTATAATAACAATCTGATTGCGACCGACGAGAGCCCGCCGCGATCGAAAAATAAACCTTACTAACGAACACCGTTTGTATTCGCATGGAAAACAAAATTCGCTCCCTATTTGGACAAATCGCCACGGGAGATCCCATCAATCTGATATTCGGAACCGTTTTCTGCATAGAATATAAAATTGTCTCCATTTGAGAATTTGTTTTTTTTTTTGGCTAAAAATAAAACTCGATCAGGATGTAAACAAATTATAAAAAAGCGACACGGATCTTTTCGAAGGGCGGTTCGTGCGCAAATCTGCAATCGGCCTTGAAATTTCTAAGCGTTAATTAAGAGCAATCCATTTCACGGCGCGGTTCGCCACTAGAATATAACACAGCAGTTTGGTGCGTAATAGAGAGATCGTGTCTTATCAATCCCTGCTGAGCTGACGAGGCGCATTTTTCAACCTGCCAACTAATCTTAATCAAGAGGGTCGTTCTCGCCAAATTATAGAGCAGCAGACGAATTGGAGGCTTGCGAAATTTCGACAACCAACAATTTGAAATTTGCTCCGGTGCAGGAAAACCGAGAGTGATCAAAATAATCATTGCTCAAAAACAAATACATAATAAAATTTTAATTGGCAACCGCACACAATGCTGCGGTTGCCTGATTCATTTTGAGCACCTAATCTCATTCTCTCGAGTGGCGCATTGCAAAACTTATAACGGCCTGCGCGCAAATTTTCATTCCTCAGTGTCAATTGTTTCGCCCAAGAGGTCGGACCCCACCTTCGATAATAGAAAAACAATCAACTAACAAATACACGCGACTTTCTCCAACGCCGATAAAAATAATGGAAAGCGCCCGCCAGTCCCCGAGTGCAACAATTTTCACCTCAAGCGACTCAATCAATTTTGAGGTTTACTTTCGATCTCCGCGATGGTGAAAATTTTTCTTTCTTGTTTGACAATGAGATGCTGCTTCACGTGCTATGGGGTTGGTTTCATTTGCTCCACAGAATTCATCTCGTCATCGACAAAAAGTCTTTTGTTCTCTTTTCTAAACAAGTTGTTTGGCGTGACTCATCTCTCACCGGTGCTCGAATTATGTCAGCACCAGTAGGCACAAAGTTGGCAAAAAACGCGAGCCTCTGCTTTTTATGCGTGGACCGCCGGCAGACTTACGAGAGTAAAATATACGTAAAGGTATCCCCCGCCGCTTCGATTAAATGTGACTCATGCCAGCCGTGCACACAAACGAGTATCGAGTTACTTATTTCCCTCGTAAGGAACATTTTTCTTACACTCATATTATGGAGTCTTGAAGTGGACAAAATTTTTTAGAAAACAGAAATTTTGGCTTTGGAGAACATTGATTTTCGTACCGAATATTATTACATTTATTTTAACGCCATGCCACCAACCCATTCATACATGTTTTGTTTTTAAGCTTTTCAAGCATTGAAAAACAACATAGAATCTTTTATGTTAAAATATGTTTTACAATCAGTTTTATTAGGTTAAATTAGATAGAATTCAAAGTGTTATATAAACAATATAAACATTAAAAACAGAAAATAACATTAAATAAAAAATAGGTTGATTTATAAAATGTGTTAAATACACTTGGTAAATAAACAGGTAATGCTATGTAAAAAAGATAAATTAAACATAAATTATAATGATTAATCAGAAAAAAAATATTTAAATACTTTCTTGTATTTAAATTTTGCACATCGAGGACCAACTTTTACCATTAGTCATTAATTAGTTTTCGCCTACTAGCAAAAGTTGTTTCCTTTCTCGCACGAAGAAAAGTAGTTTGTGTTTTTTCGAAAGCGAAAATCACTAAAGCACAAATCCATGTTTTCGTTCGCCGTTAAAATTCTGTCCACGTGTTGGCGCAGACAAGCCGTTAATTTGAATTATTAACTTCTTTGCTGCTCTCCGTGGTGCTGTCGAGTCCTTCCCGAAAATTATTTACAGCTGGCCACGCCATCAAAATATAATTCAAAACTTGTTAATTCTCCAAAACTACATCACGACTCTCTCCAGAATTTTTCATTTTTTTTTTATATAACACAAATATAATTTAACTCGCTCCTCTCCCTATATGTATAACTCGACACCACTTATCACGTGATACCATGTATCATCTAGATTAAAAATTTCCACGCTGCCTCGTTCACGTTTCTCTCGCGTTATAATTCAATGTCTAGAGAGGAGTGCGTATGGAGGGCCCGAGCAGAATTTTAATTTGCCACGATCAAGCCGTAAAGGTTCTGGATCATTTGCTCAGGCGGGCTTAATTTTTTAATGATCTCGACAGGCAAAAGCGAGCAAAAGAGACGCAGTCGTGCGCGGCGCGTTTTCTTTCATCGACGAGAGGAGCTTTGGAATTGGAAATGCGTGCACATGCAAAACTTCCAGGTTGGGCAATCGTAAATTATACCGATATATTCTTCTAGGCTAATGATTTCTGATCAGGCGAACCATATAAAAGGTAAAAGCCCAATTGGGAAATCACAAGATTATTTTATTTCCTTTGTCCTTCCATTAGTTTTGCAACACACAACATCCTTCACTTGAAGGTAAATGTACTAAACAAGCTAATTTTACATTTGCAATTACTTTATATTTTCCGGAATTATGCGGCGCTTCATCTGCAGTTGACAAAATAAAAATATTTATATTGCAATTTAGATAATCTCCCAGAGATAAGCAGAGTGTTTTGGAAAACAAACCAGCCTTTTTTTATAATACGAGTGCTTTATAATTCTTATTTGCCTAAATAAACAGAAACAATTAAAAAAGACCTCGCGAAAGCATTGTTTTAAAAAGTTCATCCAAGAAAAGAACCGGAGCTCCCACGGCGTGGAGGACAGTTACTTTTGTAAATTCAATTAGGCGAAATTCCCACGCGCGGGCAAATTAATTATTTCCTCCTCTTTCTTCGGCTGTCATTCGCGTTATGTAAAACACAACACCCGCGTGTACGTACACATAATTTCAGAGTTGCATCCTGCATTTATGCGATAAATCAGCAGCTGCAATTTAATTGTCTTCTTTTTCTCTCTGCTTTGCATTGCAAATAGCGCCAATTAGAGATTAACGAGGAGGGAAACTTTAATTGAAGTTGGCAATCCATCGCATTTTTCAAAGCAAGAGGAAAAAGCAGTGACATAAGAGCTTTCAAAGACGGAAAAATTCATCACAAGCGAGCAGAAATAGAATGCAACTTGTTCACCCACTCCTCCAGGCGGTAGTTCTTTTTTTACTTTGCTTTAATTTTTATGTTTATGGCAGTGGGAAAACTTAATATATATTTTAATTATCATTGTCATCTATGATTAAAATATAAATAATACACATGGATAATCATCCTGCCGAATGCAAATTTACTTCAAAATATTTAGTTCAATTATAACTTATGCTAGTTATATATTTTTTTAAAATTATATTTTATTTGTTAATTTTTTTTATTGTAATCGGATATCAGATGAGAAAAAAAGTAAAAAATATTATAACATTTATTTTGGCATATATTATAAAATTATTTTTTAAATAACCGAAATTTGTAATAAAGTTTTTAAATAATAATTTATAAAAAAATTAAGACTCAACATTTAAAAAAAATTTAATTAATTAATATCCCTCATATTTAGCAAAACATGTTCACTTGAAAAATCCTTGAAACAAAAACAAAGAACTGATTTTGGCACGACATGTGCAGATTTTCGCACTGCCCTTTGGCACATTTGCTTTTGTATGCCCTGCGGCGGCGACGAGGTCAAAAAGCGACAAAGGCAGTCGGTGCATCCCACGGCCAAGCAAGCTCCATTCATCCTTTTGCGCCTTAACCCGGGTGATTAACATGCAAATGTATGGGCAGAAAGCTGGCAGGTCCGCGACTTGCTCTCGCCATGAATAATGCATCGCGAAACGCGCCAGACAAATAATGTAGTTGTTTTGCGGGCGCAGATAAAAAATAATTTCCAGTGTTTGTCTTCGCGCGTGCACGGCCGTTTAACACAAACACCGGAGTCGGGGGCGCGTGCATAATATTTTTCCTTCGCAGCGATAAAGATTTTTGGCGGAGCGGCGACGAAAGGACGTTCAAAATTTGCATTCGCGACCTTCACCCAAATTGGATCCTTTTTTTCACCCTGATAAAAAAGCCGACGTCGGCGGTTATTTTTCTTTCCAACAAATGCTTCCATGGCCGAGATTGACTCTGCTGATAAAAAGTCGCGGGGGAGCGAAGCTTGCCTTTGTTTCATTCACAGCACCAAAGTGTTTGTTAGGACTTGGTTTCCGTGGAAACGAGGCAAGAGCGAAACGTACCGGTCGTTGTTAATAATGCAAATGGCTCACATTTGTATGAATTGCGATTCAGGAGGCCTACAATCTCCATAAAATATTGCGCAACATTGCGGTTTTCCTGTATTATTTACGATCAAATGATTTGAATAAATGACTTGCATGGTCTTTAATAGGATTGAGTTGAAATCACAAAATTTTCTGCAAACCAAACAATCAGAATGATGATTTATAAAAAAACTTCATTAGTATCAAATTATTGCTATAGATGAAAATGAAAACAGTAAATTAGATGATAAATTTCCATAATTCCATTGATTAAATGCGGGGTTTTAATTGCGAAAATCTTTATTGTGTTAAAAGATTTGCATCTAATTATAAATTGAAATTTCAACCAAATTTCAAAGTTGGCATTAATTTCAGACATACAGTTGAAAGTGTGCAACACAAGTGTGTTTTAAATAATCAAAATTATAGGTTGTAATAAATTTAAAACTAAATCTTTTTTAAATTAGTTTGTATCGCAAAATTAAAGCCAATTATATTAATATTCTTTACCCTTTTTTATGTTTTGTTTTAATTTGTTTCCAAATGTTATTTAAGCAAGTCAAATAATTCAAATTTATCATCCTGTGTAATTGTTGCTGCAATATTTCATTCAACTGAAGTCAACTTCCGCACTTCCTTTTGCATTCTGACCAAAACACAAAGGCAAATTCTTCCGAAAAGACATCAAACGTTTCCCAGGCGTATTTGATGACAAAAACCGACGAGGATGCGCCCATATATTCGAATAGGCCGTATATTTTCACAGCAGTTTTTCTTCCTCTCCTGTTGTGAGAGACCTGTCGCGTATTCTATGTACTAAAATGGTAATTGTTGCAAGTTGTATTATTATTGTAGGGCCGGCGCAGCTGCCTGCATCATTGTGAGCGCGCGAGGGCGGAAGTTCGCCGCGTTCTCACCGCCTGCTTTATCCGGTAAGTACGAATAAAAATACCACACACTGCCACCATGATCCTCGCCGGGGCAACCACCATGCGAGCGAACGACTCCGAATTTTCGCTTCGCTGAACGCGCCGGTTTTTTTTTATTACGTGTACGCAGTTTTAAAATGCATAAAGTTTCACATATACGAAACTTTAAGGTTTCTCTGCAGGGGTGTGTCGACGTTAGTGGAAAAATAAATAAATTTAAACAGCTTATCGCTCCTTAAAATTATATTTCACGTTGTTCGAAAAGAAAAGCGCGCGTTCTTATCTGGAAACGGTTTGGATGCCGGAACTGGCTTGTTTTCTGAGTTTCTGCACGTCGAGTTTCGCCTCCTACAATGAATACGCACACACCGTCTTATCTTATATTATATTAAAGGGAGGTTTGTAGGTGCACTGAATTTGAACTCTGCCTTTTTAAAAATTTTAAATTCCTTCTTATCATATACAGAATAATGGCAGTGTTCTGTGATTCTATATTTTCCCATAAAATATTGTGCGTACACAAAAAGCTCGTTTTCCAAAACGTGAGCGATAAGATAAGTCTCTTCTTTGGCTCGAATTGTTCTGATACTATTTGCTTGCTAACGCGGCGGCAAAATCCGATGTCCTCGGTTTAGATTTGTCTCGGCGCGCTCTGATAAAAGCGACGACGACCGGGAATTTATTATTCCCCTTTCGGTGCGCGGGTATATCTTTTATTTCTCTCTTTCTTTCATAAGGCGCATTCACGTCACAAGAGATAAAAACGTGCCGGGAATAATTTTTAAAAAAGTCGCGCCCGTAATTTGAAAGTGCCTCAGAAAAGCAACGAGCTTTGTTATTACAAGGAAAAAATAAAAATAAAACACACGTGAAAAGTTTTCACGCCGCCAGCAATTCAAGACTGGAATATCAAAAGGGAAAGAAAGAAACATAATAAAATATCCACCAGCTGCAACAGAACGAAGGAATTATAAATTTTATTGGAGAAAAACTGCAGCAGTTGGTCTGCGCTCTGTTGCTTCTCTTGGGGAGAGATGATTTATGGGAGTCGCGTGTTAATTCCTGCAATTAAATGCAAATCGGACCCTATAGGAAAGTTAGCACTAAAAATGCTCGCTCGATGACAGTTTATATGCGTGATGAATTTCATTCTAGGGCTGCTGGACACGCAGGGCTGCTGGGATGCAAATTAAAAAAAAAATGGAAGACTAACTTTTCGGAGCCGTGGAGAGTGGTGGAGGCAGTTACAGTGGCTATTTAATATTCAACGGAGCGTTCTGCGCCGCACTTTTCTAGCGGAAATTTGACGAGAAAGAACAAAAGGTCGAGAGGGCAGACAACTTTTCGGTGCTGATGGATAAATTTTAAAAGCGTAAAAATGGTTGCAAATTTCAGGTACTGAATATTATCCCTATCATTTTGAAGACGAATAAAATTTACTGGTTAGTTTTATACTAACCTAGTATTATTATTAATTAATAAATATTTATCGGGGGGATATTCAAATGCTAAATTAGCTGATGAAATTTGCAGCATAGATTATAAGTTAGAATTAAAAATATTTCCCAATATTAATTAATTGATTATTGCAGTATATTTAAAATTTCAATTTTTTAAATTATAGTTTATTATATAAAATTTTAATTTTAAACCTACATTTACATATTAATTTTTTAAAAATTTATATGTAATACAAAATAATTATTAAATTTTTTTATAACAAAAAAATTCTTTTTACAAATGAAGGTTCTTTTACCAACAGATAATAAATTCATTTGACATGCTAGGCATCTATCAGTATTTTCATTGTAGTGAAGCAATTACAATTTTTCGTTTGGTTAATAGTTGGGTTTATTTGTTTTATTTTTTTTTAAATTTAATTTCACTAATGAATTTTATACATGGTAATCGAAGGTATGCTTGTTGACCACTAGGTCATTTGAACATAACTGATTTCAAAATTTGACCGAGTTTGAATTATTGGAAACACTTACCCTTCCCATGAAGAACCTCCGGTAGCACTTGGCAGTCTCGTCCGTCTCAAACTTGACTTTCCAGCCGGGGGCGGGTGCGGAGGCGGCCGCGGGCAGCACCGGTTCGCCACGCTGGTCGAAGGCGCACTCCTGCTCAGGGCCGTCCATCCAGTAGCCACCACTGGTGGGCACCACCACCATGGGGTACGGGCCGGGCCTCTGCAGGGTCTCTTCCAGGAGGCGTTGCGAGGCCGGCGGCGTGATGGGCACCACGGGGATGGCCGTCGCCGCGGCCGAAGGCGCCGCACTTGTCGGCGCCGGTAACTTGGAGTCATCTCGAGAGGTCTGAAACACAAAAGCACCAATTTTTAAATCAAGTTGAAAAAAACACAAGGAAATCGTACAGAGCCAGGTTTACACATTTCGTGGCCTAACCAAAAAGTCAAGTCAAATTGAGCTTTTGCGGGCGTGGGAAGATTGGGAAAAGTGATACGCAGCGGAGACTTTTGTTTCTCAAATGTCTAATTGCGGACATATGCAAATGCACGTGCTCTATTTGGGCCAGCTGGCCGAGCCAGAGAAGATTCGCGTCTCAGTTCTCACAGGTAGACTGAAAGTGGACGGAATTCAAAGTGGCATTGCTTTTGTGCGGATGGTAATTTTGATGTGTGCAGCGTTTGAAGGAACTTTCTAATATTAAAATTGGTTCGTTTCGTTTGTATGGAGAGGAAGTTTTGAAAAAAGGTTTCACTTGAAAAGCGTTGAATTATTTAAAGACAGCCTACTATATTTGACAAAATTGAGGAATATGAATTATTAAAGAGTAAAAATAATACAAAAAAATAGGCTATAAATTTCTATTTTCTTCTAAATAAGACTTGGCCATATTTCACTTCTTTTCGCTTGTTTGTTAGCCTTTGAAGATAATAAATAATAATTCACTGACGCATGAGTATTCAGTCTATATAATCTTCTGAATCGGCATTGCAGCACGCACGTACCGTGTGTTGCATAACTGCTGCCATTTACACTACTTTTTGGTCACAGCGTTATTTGTGCCACACATATTATGACACGACACGCAATTCACCGCAGTTGTTATAGATTATACGACAGGCTTTCATATATTTAATATTTCCATGCGAAAATCGATAGACGGGGTGCCGTCCAGACGGTCACACGCATTTAGATTATATGCGAATGCTGGTTGTGAGTCATGTTGTGAATGAACAGAGCGTTTGATCAATAGGCCCCTACTGCCATTACTTATCGTGTTTAAGAGCTCAAAGTTGCAAATAGAAGGTTTCTCATCCGGTTACGCACTTTTGTAATCCTTTCAAGTTCAAAAGTGCGGCCAGGTAAATCAATGATGTATATTATCTTTTACTAAATTAAATAATGTCTTGGATTATTATCCAGTTTTTAATTTTGTATAATAATTGAGAATAATGAATGTCATAATTTAAATAAAATTCATTTTTAATTGCAGAAAATTTTTATTTTTGCAGTATTTGCATGGAATGGTATTCTATGCAAAATTGATTAGTGGTGCAATTAATTGAAATGAATTGACTCAGCGGCTTTATGTGCAAATTCTGCAAGTTGGAATGCAAAACGCCAGCTTTCCCCATTCAAACCACTAACGTTTTATACCATAGAAGTGGTGCAGAAAAGCCGCTGAAATCCGCAAACTCGCGGAAAAGTTTCTTAACTCGAAACGCCCGTAGAGCTGACCTCGTAACTCCCAGCAAAACTAATCAAAGTGAGCGTTTCTTTCGCAAGATTGTTTTTACGAGCATGAAATATTCATCCATCTTGTTCCTTGACGTCGAACTGAGAAAAAAAATTATGTAATAAGAATCATCCAGGGCGTGCTATTATTATAGTTTCGCTCAAAGAATCGAGGAGGGTGGTTTCTTACACACATGATCTCGTCAAGAAAAGATCCGCAGAAGATGAATAGCCGCGTGCGAGGTGATAAAAGCAAGTTGCTAAACACGACGACGCCTCTCATTTTTATATTGTGTTAACCTTAACACAATGGCACAAACCGTCGCATAGGTGTATTTTCCAGGGCGGTATGTGCACGTTTTTCTGCAATAAAAAATCACACTCTCTGCGCGTGTGTAATTAACATTCTTTGGCGCACGCGACATGAAAAAGTCACAACAATCCATCATTAATAAAACAACGTTTGACGTTTGGAGTGAAGTGACGTGTGACGAAATAATCTAGCAGATATGAATATTATTGATGTCGAACAACATCCTGACAAAAAATTATTTGTGTAAAAAACCGGAAGTCTGAATATCAAATTCAAATTGTGAATATTTATCATGAGAAATGAATGAAAAAGTCCCCCTTATTTTCTTAACTTTTCCGCTGCAAAAGAGGGTGTCGCAAAAAGTTCTTTTCAAATCCCATGCAGAAGTCAGTTTATGAAAAGACCTCGGCAAAAAGTTTTGCAAGGAGAGTCAAGAGTAAAAAAATCACAATTTCAAGTGATAATACATCGTAAAAAGTAAAATTGCTTTAGAAACGATCGTTTTGTATTTGTTTACCTGCCATAAAACCCCAACGCAGTAAAAAAGTGAGGAAATCTCTTTGCCGCTGTTTGTTTGCGCATGGAAAATGCTATATTGGATATCTGTGCCGCGGAATGAATGTAAAATTCTCCTTGTACGTGCGCATACATTATTATTGAGAGCAGAATTGCACATCTATACATATACCGAGTGCAATTTCACGCGACAGAAAGAGCCGCCGAGAGAGATAAGAGTCGTGAGAAAGTCGCACTTGATGGAGACTCGTCTCTATCTGCAGTCAGCAGATGAGGCAGAGAGCGGTTGTCAAGTTGCCGGTGTGTGATATAATTATAGTCAGTCATACAGCCGAGTAAGGTCATGAACACGAGACGAGAGAGCACTTCCCTATTATCAGGAACAAGATTATTAAGCACGCGACATTCGCTCATACACCAAAAGAAATTAAGATGAAGATGTTAATTACAGCGCGAGGTGGGCTTTTATTTTGAAAACATTATTAGAATGTTTGAAATTAACCCAGAAATTGGGACATTAAAAAAATTAATTTTAATCTCAGCACAAAATTTGAAATTTTCTTATTGAATTTTGAGGAAAAAATTGAATATTTTAAACAAGGAATAATATTTTTAATTAATTAAAGATACATTTAAAATTTTATTTAACATTCTTTGCGTTTTCAAGCCTTAAATGCAGAACAAAATTGGCAACACAGTATTTGTAAAGCAAATTTAAGACAATGTAATTTCGGCGACGCCAGAGCCATTTGCAAAGCTGCAAATTTGTAAGAACGAAATTCCTTCCCTGATGCAAAATCCATAAATTAGCGTCTCTCTCGCCTCCGCAAGCCAGAGATAACGATGTTGTCGAAAATTCTCACGCGGAATTCGCCTGCTCTGCGTGCCCAGATGGAGAAACAAGGGCGGGCGGCTTATTGTAAAAAGTACAAATACACAACACGCTGCATTTTGTAACGTCTCCCAGCGCACAATAACAATAGACAGAGAAATATAAAATTGCGCCAACGGCTGGTTGAGAGGCCTCCTCGCATTATATTGTTGAGTCTCCGACACAGGGTCATTAGACGTGAGTGTTTTATTTGTTCTAGAGCGTGTATAGTATGGCTAAGAGATGGGGAAACAAAACCAACGCGAATGTTTTTTTACTCTCAAGGAGTGAGAGAAGGCATCAAATTTCTGTGCGATACTCTCTGATCGTATCTTGTTATTGAACGGCGTGAGATTTATGAGCTTTCGTGACCTCATTTTTACATCCAATATTATTTTGATGAAAATTCAATCAAAACATTCAGAGTTAGGAAAAAAAAAGATAATTTTATAGTTTGATATGAACTTGAACTTTAAGTGTCTGATTCATTTTTGTTAATGGGTATTATAAAAATTTAATCTTTCTTAGGTCACTCAACTTTGAATAATTATTTCTGGGCAGTACAAAACGGTTTTCTTTTCTTAATAATTATCGTTCAAGAAATTTCACTCCCCTCAGGAAGAGTTTGATTGTCACGTGTTATAATAAACAAGGTTGAAAGTGAAAAATTCTCTGTAAACATGCGGTACATCGCTCGGAAATTGTCAGGATAAATGAAATTTCTCGGAGCAGTTCAATAAAACGTTCATCTGCGGTTAAAAAACGTGCACGCATACACAAAGAAAGATTTCCAGCGATATCGTTCCGTCACAAAGCAGGGATAAAAGCAAAATACGCAGCCGGTTTAAACACAATGCGTGTGTTATGATGTGCATTGTTGTCCCGTTAGATTCGCGGGAAAACGCTGCAGCAGATCAGGTTGCATGCAACGAATTATATAAGGGGCCAAATGAGATGCGCCGCCGATCGTGCGATGCACTTCAGCAGCCAAACACAACAAAAAGCGGCCGCGCGTCTATTGCGAATGAGCACAGACGATCGGATTAGAACAGTTAGTTAGTCAGACCGAGGTTTAGTGTCTGGAACTAGCAAAGTGTTATACAATGGGAATTAAACGTCGTCAAACGGCACAAATAATGCTGCAAAAGATAATATACGCGCAAATTTATAAGCATTTTTCAAAAGAGTGAGCTGGAAAATTGCAGGTTCGTGCGCACAAAATTTAGAACGGGGTATTATTTTACTAACATAAAAATGACTTTTAGAAATTTAGCGATAAATATTTATTCTGAGACTAGCAAAGAATAACAAATTTTTGAATGTATAACAATAGGTTTTTTGTGTATCCTTCAAATGAGAGACATAAGATTGATTGTTTTTATTGTTTCAATTGAATTAAAATAAATTTTTATTAAAGGAGAAGATAGATTTTAAGCTCATTTTTGAAAGAACTGAAACTGAAAAAACGGTTTTTAATATTGCTGACAACGTTTAATTTTAATTTAAAAAAAAGATGGATTAGTTAAATACAAATTACCTGGGCGCAAGGACCACAGTTGAAAAATAAATTTGTTATTTGGCTTAAATAAATGCAATAATTTTTAAGTCATCTGCAAAGCAATCAATTTTAAAGAAACTTTTAGAACTCATAATGTATATCTGCAAACCTCAATTCGGGCTTTGGAAAGTGGTTTTTTTACTCATAATATTGGCCCGGCAGTTGGCGTAAGCCGCAGGATGAACTAGTTCAGAAGGAGCTGCCGGCGAGCAAACGAAGAAAATGAGAAAGAAAACGAACACGTAATTCATTTGCTCATTCACGGTAATGACCGTTTGCCAGCCAACTTTTTCCTCAACTGGAATTTGCGGTCGCCGCGCATCTCGCTTTTGCGGTGTAATCCAATCGAGAATACC